CTCTGAAAGGCTGGAAGGACTTTCCATTGACTCTAGGAGATAAGATGTGGAAAGAAGAGATGGGGAATCGCCATAATCCCATTAGAGAACTGATACTGTGGCTGAAAACACTGTGGCTGAGAAATACAATGTCATATTTTCACTATTGATCCTAAAATATATAGCATAACACGGAGCTTTATCACTTACCATGAGGCTTTGTGTGTGTCAGGACTTCTCAGGTGTTAAGTTGCTGTAAACGATGGGTAGATGATTTCAAATACAGATTCTGAGGGCTGGGAGTGTAGCACAGTGGTAGAGAACTTATCTAGCATTCATGAGGCCCTGAGTTCAACTCCTAGCCTTAAAAAAAAAATCAAATGTAAAATTCAGATTGTGGTCCAGCAAAGCAGGATCCGAGAGCCTGGATTTCCAACCATCTCCTAATGTCTGTGCTGCTGCTGGCCTTGGGCTACACTTTGAGCAGCAAATGTTTAAATGTGTGTAAATTATTGTTATGTACATGGGTAATGAAAAATAATTTTGCTGCTGGTGTATTTCTTTTTTGAGGCAGGGTCTCACTGTGTATAACAGGGTGGCTTGGCCCAGCCCAAACTGGTTTCAATTTAAAATTCTCCTGTCTCTGCCTCCCAAGTATGATGATTTCACATTGTGCTTTCTAGCCTTGATTTGGACATAATTTTAGATGGGAAAATGCTACGCAGACAGGGTTGTTTCTCATGAGATGAATTAAAGCTGGTCAGGTAGCAGTAGTAGAAATGCTAGAATGGATGTCAACTTCCTTAAGTCAGTAATGGTGGACAAATCCTACTGTGATCTTTTGTAATTAGTTATGTTTCTAAGTAAGATGTTTACAGTCTATTTGGATTTTACAGCTTGAGGGTTTATTTATTTATTTTATATGTATGAGTGTTTTGATGCCAGGGGTATACGTTCCACAGAAGCCAGAAAAGGTTGTTGGATCCCCTGGAACTAGAGTTACAGATGGCTGGAGACACGTGAGTGCTGAAAATGGAACCCTGACCCTCTGCATGAAAAACAAGTGACAAAGCCATTGAGCCACCTCTCCAGCCTCATAGCTGCAGGTTTGACAATGTCTTTACAGCTACTGTTAGATGGAACAGGGATTTCTGGCACGGAGAACGTTCAGTGAAAGTTGATACTTTCATCCCCAAGAGCATCAGAGAAGCTAACTTCAGATGAAGCAGGTGTTCAGACCCACATCTGAATCAGCAAAACTAATGCTGGCTCACTCAGCCCCACTTGACTGTATGCTTTTCTGGGTTGGTAAATTATGTGTTTTCTTTTTGTCTAGCCTTCCCTGTCTTTGCAAGCAGGTAACAACAGCCTATTCAGCCTGGTATCAATCGTCTTGATACATCTCATTGGAACATGCCCAGAAGACTTAAATGATGGAACAATGGGTTTCCACTTCTTCTCATTCTTTTTTATGTGTTTTATCCACATGTATGTATGTATACCAAGTGTGTCCATGAGGCCTGCAGAGGTCAGAAGGGGGAACTGGAGGTAGGGATAGTGGTGAACCACCATGTGGGTACGGGAACTGAACCCTGGGTCTCTACAAGAGCAACAAGTGCTCTTAACCTCTTGAGCCACCTCTCCCATCCATTCTCCTCATTTCTTAAATGGCTCAGTCCTTGCTCCAGGACTTTAAAACAGTATTTGTGGTTTTGAAGTGTCTCAGACCATCTTTTCTTGCCACACTCTTAATCTCACTCCTGTTGAAAAACTGCCACTTGTAACGTTGTGATGCTAATATGAGGAAAGCCAGAAGAGCAGACTGCCAGATGGAGGCTCTTCAGTTACTTCTTCCTTCAGGATTCCCTTTCTTTTAGGTTGTTTGCTGAGTAGGGGTCTTGCTATGCATCCCTGGTTGGCCAGGAACTTGCTATGTACCATAGACTGGCATCAAACTTGTGACGATCCCTGCCTCTGCCTCCTGAGTACTGAGATTACAGGAGTGCATTGCACCTGACATTCTTCTGGATTTTCTACATAAGACTCTGAGGACTCCCTCCACTTAAATGTTAGTTTATCCTAATGTGGTAAGAGAGTAAAGGGGACTCAGAACCATGAAACCATCTTAAACTATTCTGCTGTGACTTGAGTACATTGTCTCCCTCCGCCTCAGGATTGCAATCTTTGGCCTCCACATGGTGGTGCTGCCTGGGAACTTTAGAAAGTGGGGCCCTAGTTTGAAGGTGTAGACCATTGACAGTGGGTCCTTGAGGGTATATCATCCCTGACTTGTTCCCATTTCACTCTCCCACTTCCTGTCCACCAAGATATGAGCTGTTCCTTGCCTCTCTGTAGGATGGGCTGAAGACCTCTGAAACTGTAAGCCAAAATAACTTTTTTCTTCCCTTCATTAACTTGTGCCTGCCAGGTCCTGTGGTCACATAATGCTAACATAACTAATGCTCCAAGCCTACCTGGGTTCAGCTGTATTCTGCAGAGAGGCAACATTACACAGAAACTAGTCACACTAATGTCCCAGTTCTTCCTCTGACCGGTGGTGATTGTTTACTCCAAGGGCTAGGGAAGTGGCCCAATGAATAAAGTACCACTGAGTAACTAAGTTCAGATCCCCAGTCCATATGTAAAAACATGGTGATATTGCAGAGACAGGGAGAAGGTGTGTGGAGAAAGGTATATCTCTGAAGAACTCTTGTCAGTATTACTACCAATCAGTCTAGCTCTGGGTTCAGGGAGACTTTACTTCAAAAGACAAGGTAGAGAACCATAGAAAAAGACCTGATATCGACCTATGACTTCCACACATGTGTACATACATGATGCACACGTTCACATGTGTGCTTAAACACACATACACACACTCACTCCTAATGGGTGGACATTAGAAGCTAAACATACCTGCTATCTCTAAAGTTCAAAGACAAAAATTAAAAATCAAAACCAAAGCATTAAAACACAGATTTAAAAGTTTATTTTCCGTTTTCTTCAGTCAATTACAAAGCATTATGGGGCATGGTGACCATGCCTTAATCCCAGCACTCAGGAGGTAGAGGCAGGCAGATCTTATGAGTTCAAGGCCAGCTTGGTCTACAACAGCAAGTTTCAGGACAGCTAGGACCACATAGAGAGACCCTGTCTCCAAAACAAGACTTAAAAACAATATATTAAAAGGTAAATATTAAAAAGTAGCATATGCCAAGCCTTGTCTTAATAGCTTTAAACCTCACAGCTACCTTTGGAACACTTTTACTGTATGTGAGTTGAGAAAACTGACTTGTAAGGAAATTCAGGAATTAAAAAACAGGGTCAGAGTTGGTAAGCTAAAAATTTACATCCATGAAGTTGGACTCTGGGTCCGACATCTCAACTATTATTCTGTTTTATTCCCCAAGATACCAAATAAACCTGTAGCCTGATAAGTCACAGTGGCACATGCCTTTAATCCCAGCATTAGGGAGAGAGAGGATCTCTTTGAGCTCAAGGCCAGCTTGGTTTATATATCAAGTTCCAGAGCACTCAGTGAGATCATGTCTCACAAGCAAAACTTCAGCCTTTTTTTTTTTTTTTTAATTTACAAAACACAGAACCCCATATTGAAAGCATCTTAAAATCAGGATTCCTGTCCAAAAGATACAGAATGACCAGGTTTGTTGCTGACCTCAAGGATGGCTGCATTCAGGAATCTGAATACAGAATTTCTTTGTGCTCCGTAATGTACATCAGACTTGTGCTTTCAGACCAGCTTGTTTGGAGATATATGATGAAGAATTTATTCAATGAGGGTCCAGATTAATATCCTGGTTTGAGCTCAAAGAAGAACGTGTTCGTCCTTGTTGTTTTCAGTAAGAACAAATTACTTCAAAATACTGTGGTGGACCCAATTTAAGTCATGTGCCAATCCTTGGGCCAGTCACAGTGGCAAGGGAGATAGAGTATGGTCATACCTCTGTGCCCTGAGGGGCTGGGTCTGTATCAAAGGACAAAGTTCTAAACAAGAAAGAAAACACAAACTAAAGACCTTCTTCTTTTTAAGAATCTGCAAAATGCCTTCACTTGATTCTTTTAAGTCTCCCATGGGTCCTGGGAAGAGAGCAGGCCAAGTATCTAAACAGTTACCTAAGGACACCACAGTGGATTAAGATGCCCACAACGTTTCTCACCCTGATACCTAGCCAATACAACGCGGCAAAATTTACAACTCCTCAGCCTCCCGTGCCAAAGTACTAGCAGCCTCACTCTTTCCTGGAGAATTCTCTTGGGACACTACCTCTGAAAACTCAGAGAACAAACAGTGAGGTAGACGTCCGGTCCTCATGGCAAAGGCACAGGGAGGCAGGCACTCCAGAACACTTCGAGCAGAGCCCTTAGCTGACAGGAACAGACGCCAGGTGAAACGTCACTTCGGACATTCCAGGGTGGCGTGGTCTACAGCAATACAAAACTTTAGACTCTCGAGACTCGGAAGCTATGACTCCAGTGGTTCAGGGTCCCAGCTAGAACGCATCAGAGTCGCGATGTGAAGCCTGGCACTCTCTGCTTATTGCGCTTGCTTTTACTACTCATGCTTTCCTATTCCAAACGGAACACGTCTCAATCCCAAACTTCACTTGAGGACTTTCTGCGCCAAGACGCCAGCTGGGTAGAGCACATAACTGGCCAATCATGAGAAGTGCCAAGCAACTGAGCCAAACATGCCTCCAGAACAAGAAAGACTAATGTCTCGATTCGTGGTTCGCCAGGGATCTTCCCTCTCCTACACCTCCTCTTCCGCACTTGGGAAGGGAGCACATCATCAGAGAGGGAGCAGGACTACACAACCGGCCGTTGTGAGAGATAATGGCTCGCTGCGCAAGACTGCGCATGCGCGCATGTAGGCGGGGTTGCACATGCGCAGCGCCGGGAGTGGGCGGGGCTTGGTACAGCTTGGCCTTCCCAGCGGCCTCGGCGGAGGCAGAACCAAGCTGGTTCCCGCCGTCCGCTCCCGCCATTGGCGGGCCGTTTAAATGACGGAAGTGACGAGAGCCTGGCGATGGCCGTCCCACAGGTGCCCAAACCGCTGCTGGGTAGTCTGCAGTCGGCGGGTTCCTGAGTGTGGTGAGGTGCGACCACGCCTATCGTCAGGTGAGTGACGGGGGCCCAGGAGGGTTCTCTTGGCAGGCCACGAGCAGCCTGGCGAGGCTCCCGGCCCTTTAAGCCGCCCCGAGACCGACCCTGCGGAGAGCTCGGCCTTTCTGTGGGATCCGCTTCCCTGGTACTCTGCCGTCATACGCTCAGCTTAGAAAAAATGGCAGTCCCGGCCGGGGGTGTTGATTCACCCTGTAACCCCAGCACTTGCGGGGCAGGAGGAGTGCCTCGAGTTCAAGGCCAGCCTAGGCAATATCGTTCGACCTTGCCTCAAGAAACTACAGCGGCCAATGGTTGTCGTCAGTCTTATGTTAGAATGTGTTAAGCAGTTCTTACTAATTAAGCCACACACTTAGTACAGCCACGTGTGGTAGGTATTACTCCGCTCACCAGGAGAAATATAACAAGACCCCAGGGAGTTGAGACTTGGCTACTGCCTTCTGCTAGTGAGTGGCAGCGCTGGCTCTTGCAGCCACATCGTTTAAGTCTAGTGCTAATTTTGTGATTATTGTGTGTCAGATAATGCCTAATTCCCAGAATGAAAACTATCAAGATAAATCCTACAGTGTCCATCATTATTGGACAGTTAAAACATAGGATTTAAAAATCTACATGGATAGAACAGACCAAGGCAATCAATCGGGATTCTACTTGATCAGTGTAGGAGGAATAGTTTTCTCCTATGGAAAGCAACTTACAATATTCCTCTCTTGGAGCCTCAACCATCTTCATGAGTCTTTCTTCTTTTTTTAAGAATGTCAGGGGCGGGGGGAGATGTATTGGGAAAGGTTTTTAATTCAAGCAGTTACTCCTGTTTGACGTTAGTCCTCTTGGATATAATCATGACTGGGTTTGGGTCTGCTATGTAGTACTGCACATGAATTAAAACAGTGTAATTCAGTCCATCCTGAACTATTTATAAGATGCAAGATAATTTTTTAGACAAAAGACATGGTGGTACACGCCTTTGATCTCAGCGCTCAGGGAGACAGAGGCAGATGGATCTCTGAGTTTGAGGCCAGCCTGGTCTACAAAGCAAGTCTAGGACAGCCAAGGCTATACCAAGAAACCCTGTCTTGAAAAACAAAAACAAAACAACAAACAAAATCAGACTTGTCCTGACCAACACTTGTGATAGAGAATTCTCTGAAAAACGTGTTAGTTTCTGCTAGGTTACCCAAGCACTCTATTGAAACAGGAATTTAAAGTTATTATATTTGAGTATTAAGAGTTTTGAAAACTATAACCACTATCAACTCAGTTATTAAGAACCTGTCTACAGAAGACAAATAGTAATTAATAAACTAAAAGACAAGCTATCCCCATATGAGTATAGGTAGTCTATATATTTTAGGTGAGATGAGTAAAGCTCATTCAGAGAGGACAGCTCCTTAGGCTGAGCTTCATCCAGCTTCACAGAGCTGTCAATATCCAGTTATACAGTTTGCCTGCCTCATCACTGTAAAGAGACCTGAAAGATGTGCACTCATCTCAGATAAAAATTGTAATAGTGTGCTGATATTAAGTGTATACTGTTTGGTAGTGGTATCACGGGAACTTGTTGATAGCAGAATCACTTGGAAAGAGTTTCAAAGAACACCAGCTCTCACATTCTAGTTTCCCATACCACACACTGTCTGTGTGTGTGTGTGTGTGTGTGTGTGTGTGTGTGTGTGTGTATAACCACTTAAATATCAAAAACATTAATATGGAGTTTTAAAATTATTTTACTTGTTGCCCTATTTCAGCAATATAATTTACAGACACTCATCTGTTTATTTCTCTTCGATTCAGACCCTTTATATTATACAGAAATGAAAAGAAAGGTAATGAATAATGGCAAGCTGAGACTGAGTCCTAATGAGGAAGCCTTCATTTTGAAGGAAGATTATGAAAGAAGACGGAAACTAAGGTTGCTACAGGTATCATCTACTTGGAGTTTAAATTTTTGTTTTCCTCAAATCATTTGTATATTTTGGATTAAATATAATTAATTCTAAACAAAATGTTGTTTTACAAGCTTTTTCTGTCCTTTAAAGAGCCCTGGTTCTTGCGTATTTACCAGTTTTGGAACATTTGAAAAATAATCTGCTGATAAGTATCTGAGAGAAGAGTTGAAAGATATTGCTTAACTCAAGTATTGGAAGATATTTATTTAATTACCTATATATATATTTAAAAAAATTTTTATTCTTTGGTAATTGCATGTATGGATACTGTATATTTAGATAGTTATCTACCCATCCCTCCTCCCTTCATTTCCTTCCCAATTTTCTTCCACATTCTTCCTACTTTATATCTTTTTCTTTTCCTTTTTTTTTTCTCATTAATCCACTGAGTCCATTTTACTCTGCGTGCACATGTATGGCACCATCCACTGGAGCATGGGCAATGTGCTATTGGAGCACATTGCTGAAGAAAACTAACTCTTCCCCCAGCAGCTGTCAGCTCCCAATAGCTTTTTAGTTAGGGGTGGGGCCTCATGAACCCTCCCTCTTTGTTCAGGAACATAGACTGGCTTGATCTTGTGTCAGCAACCACAGATTCATGTATGCAACAGTTCTGTTATATACAGAAGACATTATTCAGAAATCTTCTTCAGTTTCTGGCTTTTAAAATTTTTCTGTCCCATTTTTTAATGATGCATAGTTGCTGAACATTAGAAGAGGAAGCTTAGAAAGAATTTGGAGAAGACTATTGGAAAGATGAAAGACTTATTTATGTGAGCATCTGAGATAAGCTTCTTAGGAAATCTTAGATTTCTCTTTCTCAGTCTAAAGCTAAGCCTTTGTGAGTTGTGTTAATAGTTTTCTACCTAGAATCAGAGATGATGTTCCCTAGAGAACAAGCTCCCATCTGACCTCAGCTGTAAAACTTGTGAGATCACCTTACCATTTTAGCATCTTAGATGTTATTGGAGGTAGAATAGATAAAACACATTGATTAAGGAACTTCAAAAATAACCTTGCGGGCTGCTGAGATGATTCAGTTAGGTAAAGGTACTTGATTGCCAAGCTTGGCAAGCCAGGTCCTAGCCCAAGGACCCTCATGTTGGAACTCGTGAAGGTTGTCCTCAGGCTCTTGTACTATGGCACACACATACACAGAACATTTTTATTATATTCATTTGTTTGTGTATGTGTGACAAATGAATATAATAAAAATGCTCTAAATAGCCTCCCCCTTTTTTTCTCTGTTAGTTAGATTGTTCTACTAACCATAGCCTGTATCTAAAGAGTATTTAGGAGAATTGATAGAATCTGAAGAGAATTCATTGGAATTCCTATTCTTAGATTTTTTTTTTTTTAAATGTTTAAACCCCATTTATGTATTTTACACAAAATACTCATCTTTCAGGTTCGAGAACAGGAAAGGAGCATTGCTTTCCAAATAAGAGAAGACATAAAACAGAGACGAAATCAGCAGTTTTCTCGTTTGGCTGAGGAGCTAAGAACAGAATGGGAAGAAGCACAAAGTCAGAGAATACAGAAATTGGAAAAACTATATTTGGCCAGTTTAAAACATCTGGGAGAGGGACATCGACAGGCTAAAGAAAATGTGAGTGGGTGAGCTCATCTAATCACTGATTGAGACAGTATAGTTAGTTATATTTAATTTATTTATTGGATGCTTTCATGATAAACATGTTTTAATGTGAAGAACTGGGAGAGGCAAGGTGACCTTTATTTTCTAAATCAGTTTAAGCTGCTGTGAAGAATGTTGTATTCATTACCTGTCTTCCTCTGGTGTTCAAGTTTACATTATTTTTTCCATTTCTTGCCTGTATAAAATGACAGTCAGAAATTGTTTGTCTCAAGCAGGTTGGACACATTTAGAGGACTAAATTCAGATTTCCAAATTCAAATTCATTTCTAACACCTCTAAATATGTATGACCGAATACATTTGCCCTTGTTGTTACTATTCCCTTTCCTAAAGGCCAGGTAGAGTTGTTTCAGACAACTCCTTGTGTTTACTTGGTTTACTTACTATGATTTATACCTAGAAAATAGTCATTGGTCGGGCATGATATACATGTGTTCCTGTAATCCCAACATTCAAACGAAGAGACAGGAGGACTTCCTTAAGATCAGAGCCAGCCTGGTCAACATAGTTAAAGAGGAAAAGGGGGGGAGGGAGGGAAGAAAGAAGAAAAGAAAGCTAGTTTGTGTATTTTTACCAACAGCCCTAAGTTGTTTTTTTTTTTTAACTTTTTGTGAGTCACTGTTGATCTTGTGTTTAATCATATTCCCAAGCCTAACTCATTTGAATGAAACCCATATGATTTTTGAATGCCAGGAAACCACCTGTATTACTGTATACTTTTGACATTTTAGTTTAAATAAAATATTTTATTGGTTAATTTAATCCTTGTCCAAAGTGGCTTGATAATTCCTGTTTTCATAGTAAGTTAAGTGATTACTACTGTGGCGTGGTGGTGGTACCATTGCCATGCTTAGTTAGCTCTGTGTACTATAGGAGATGATGAAATTGAAAAATAACATGTTGATGTCAAGTAGACGTTTCTGTTCTTCTGTGTAACATGACCTTTTTAAGTCCTATATACTTCTAGGAACCTGACTTGGATACTCTGGCTCAGCGGGCAGCAGAAAGAAAAAGAAAAGCAGAAATGAGACATAAAGAAGCCCTAAGAATGCAGAAAAATGAAAAAGAAATGTTAATGAAACAGAAAACCAGGTGACATAATAACTTACCATATTTTCAGCTGAAGCCAGTATGATAGGAAATAGAGAGTGGGAGGCTTTGTAAGGATACACTAAAGGTTGTGTGTCCATTAACTTTTAACTGTGCTCACTAATGCAGGAGGTATTACCTAGTTGAGTAAACATTCTGAGTTTAGTGGCAGAATATCTGAAGAAATGTATGGACAGTTCAGACTTTACATTAACCGAAAACTGTCTCCAATGTAAAAAGGAAGTAAAAAATATGTAATTAAGAGTATTACAGAGATCTTGGGACAGGGTATGGTGGTGTACACCTTTAATTCTGATACTTGGGTGGCAGAAGCTGGAAGATTTTTGTGAGGTCAAGACCACCCTGATCTCAGAACACACACACGCACGCACGCACGCACACGGTTGTGACCTGGAAAGCTTCAGTCATTAGTAATTTTTGCATGGTGTGCCTGGTCTGTACTTGCCATTTTACACAGTGGCCTGTCTTTAACATTTCTAGTTCTGCTCTCACTGTAAAGAACTGAATGATTGTTCAGTTGACCCTCCTGTATTTAGATAAACCTCTTGTAGCTGCTAAACATGTTCTTGCATGTATGCTTTGTCAAACAACAAATTGGGTGTAGACTCAGCTAGAAGACTAGTCCCGAGGTTTTATGTTTTTAACTCTGTAATACGCTGATATCAAGTAAATGCATTTCTGGTCCTCTTGTGACAGTGGGTATTACCTAAGAAACTAATTGGTTGCATCTCTTCTCTTTTAAGGAATATAAAAGCTCGAAAGGAAGCATTACTTGTGGAAAAAGAGAGATCAGCTAAAATGGCCAGGCTGCCACCTCCTGTCCCAGCCCCTTTTGAGGTGAATTGCCTAGAGCTTTGTTTAAATAACTTTTAATTACATAATAACATATAAGTATATAGAGAGTACTTTTAAATCCTAGATATTGTTTTACCTATAAATACTTTGTTACCTAATGCTTGTTTTCCCCAAATGTGTTGCATTTTCCCTAGTGATTTCAAAACAATTGTGTGTTTACAAAGCATAATGGGTTTGTTTTTTATTGTGCTACTAATCGTTCTGGCTTTTATTTTTTATTTTATTTTTATCCTGTATTTGCCAAAAAAAAAAAAAAGTTACATTAGTTGTTCTGTAGACAATTCATATTCTGGATTTGGCTCACCATCTAAAAAAGAAGTAGGACTCATATATACTTCTAAATTTATTTACTGTCATAAGACCATGAGAAGTTTACTTACAGGTGTAGGTGTACTTTGTGCTTAGACTTATTTGTGTTTACACGTTTAAAATAGTTCAATCTTAAGAATACTAGAATGGGACCTAGAAACGATTATCCTGAGTGAGGTATCCCAAAAGCAGAAAGACACACATATTATATACTCACTTATATAGACCTATAAGATACGATAAACCTATTGAAATCTATATACCTAATGAAGATAAATAAGAAAGTGGACCCAGGGTAAGATGAACAATCCTCACTTAGAAAGACAAATGTGATGGACATTGGATGTAGGAGAAAACAAGTAACAGGACAGGAGCCTACCACAGAGGACTTCTGAAAGACTCTACCTAGCAGTGTATCAAAGCAGATATTAAGACTCATAACCAAACCTTTGGCAGAGTCCCTGGAATTATAAGAAAGAAGGGGGAGTTAATATGACCTGGAGAGGACAGGAGCTCCACAAGAACCAAATATATATGGGTACAGGGGTCTTTTATGAGACTGTTTCTCCAACCAAGGACCTTGTATGGATATAAACTAGAACCTCTGCTCAGATGTAGCTCATGGTAGCTCAGTATCCAAGTGGGTACCCTAATAAGGGGAACGGGGACTGTTTCTGACATGAACTCAATGGCGGGCTCTTTAACACACACACACACCCCAGGAAGGAGCAGCCCTGCTAGGCCACAGAGGAGGACTTTGCAGCCAGTCCTGAAGATACCTGATAAACCAGGATCAGATGAAAGGGGAGGAGGTCCTTCCCTATCAGTGGACTCGGAAAGGGGCAGAGAGGAGATGAGGGAGGGAGGATGGGATTGGGACGGAAAGAGGGAGCAGAATACAGCGGGGATACAAAGTTAACAAACTGTAACTAATATTAATAAAATAAAAAGAATACTAGAATGGACATGCTGACTCATGCCTTTATTCCTAGCATTTGTGAAGCTCAGGCAGGAGGATGGCTATTGAGCTTAATAAGACTTTGTTTCAAAAGAAAAAAAGAGAGGAGAAAAATTAAAAAAAAATGAGTTCTCTTATTTATATTAACACTTGGTAGTCATTGGAGTGGCTGTATAGATGACTATCAAATTACACTTATGTGAAAGTTAAACAGAAGCTTTTTTAAAAAAGCATGAAAACAATACTGATATGAGGCTGTCATCTATTTTTGTATGTATGTGATCAGCGTGAATGTCCGTCTCCTTCTTCTCTTTCACTGAGCCATTGGCCATGATCCAGTGAGGCCCAAGTGGGAGTGCCCTATTTCAGCCATTCCCCCAGGACCATGCAAGATATTAAAAAGACAAGCAGTATTTTAACCCATGATGTGATGCCTTTTGTTTGCTTATATTAAAATTTCCAGCATTCATAAGCCAGCCTTTAGCTTCTTGAAGGAGAATGCTTTTTAGAGTGTAGGATAGGTAGAATAATCAGTTCCAGGGTAGCAAATTTGTTGTTGTTGTTTTGTAGTGAGGGTATTTTGTTGTTTTGTAGTGAGGGTAGGGTGTCTTTCATTTTTGTGAGTATCATCCTGGAGGTATTGAGTTTTATTATATACCAACTGTTGTCATATTTTTTTTTTTCCTTGAAGTTTATACTCTTTTCACTGAAGAGAAGGCTCTTCAGTCTGGCTCTGTATCTGCGATTCTATAGTGTTGCTTTGTTCTGTAGCCCATAAAATGACTCTGGCAAATGACACACACTGCCCAACTTCTGGATCTTCAAAGCACCTTGCTCTGTGTGTGTGTTGTAGAGGCATTGTTTCTAGATAAATAACTCTTATATAAACCAAGATCCGAGTAATTATATTCTTTCTTTTTTTCTTTTCTTTTCTTTTCTTTCTTTCTTTCTTTCTTTCTTTCTTTCTTTCTTTCTTTCTTTCTTTCTTTCTTTCTTTCTTTCTTTCTTTCTTTTTCTCTTTTTTGTTTTTTTGAGACAGCTTTTCTGTGAAGCCTTGGTTGTCTTGAAACTCACTATGTAAGCCAGGCTGGCCTCATACGCAGAGATCCACCTGTCTCTGCCTCCCAAGTGCTGGGATTAAAGGTATATGACACCATTGCTGGCTAGGATGATTGTATTCATGTTTGGTTAAAAACAATGTTTCACAATATGACCTTTATTCAAACCTATCCAGGTGTTTGGGAAAGAACAGTGTCTTAGATTGTGTTTTGAGCTGGTTGTGAGTTTGTGGTGTGAAAGGAAAGAATAGGACTTAAGTTTGAAGGGCTGAGTTATAGTGTTTGGGGACCTTGAAGGTAAGGTATAGTCTTTAAAGATCATGTGTCGCATATAGAATACGTATATCTATGTCACTATTTCTTTAAACATAAAAATTCAAATACTGAGAAAACTGAGGAAAGAAATGTAAACTGTTTAGTTTCTCAAATCAAGAACAGTGTAGCTGGGCATGGCACCCATTCTTCTGTAGGTGGAGGCAGGGAAGATTAAGAGTTCAAGGCCAGTCTTGCCTCCATGGCAACTTGGAAGCTAGTTTAGACTTGTTTGAGACCCAGTCTTGAAAAACCAATCAAACAAACATAAAACAAGGTTTTTGTTTACATAATCCAAAGAAATATCATTTTGGATACATTAAAGCTTATCCAAAAACTGTTCCTATGATGTAAGTAAAACTTATATACACTATTGAATATCTGTGGTTTTAGTATGTCTCATTTACTCACCATGATAGCCATGTAAGTAAAAGTTATACCTTTTTCACAAGTTAGGAAAAATGAAGATCAAGGGTTAACTATCCTGAATAGAGAACCAGAGTTTATATTAAGATCTGATGCTACAAGCTCATCATCTTTTTCCCATGGCTCTTAGCTTTCCATGAATCCACTTCTGTACACTTCACTGAGGTCAACTGGTCAAACACCACATTCTGTAAATGTAAACAGCCATAATATTGAAAACCTCAGTGTTGTAAACACCATAATGTCTCTGCAACCAAAGTGTGTGGTGATTTCATCAGTAGAATCTTTTCTGCAACCAAGAACAATGGCACAATAGCTTATGTTGTTTGAGGACCTCTTGCCTCTGTGACTCATAGCGAGGTATCTCATGCCTGGCCTGGCACTAGATTTTTACTTAATAGCCTGGTATGGTGGCTTGTTCTTATCTTAAGTATATTACTATCCTGTGAATCTTTGCTTTGTGATTTCAGTTTTTTAGCATGTTGTGTAATTGTATTGAACCTTAATTCACAAATTAACTGTTGAACAAAGCATAGTGGCACATAATTGTAATCACAGCACCCAGGAGTTGGGAGGCAAGAGAATTAGGAGTGCATGGCTATCCTCAGCTGCAGTAAGTTTAAGGCTAGCCTGTACTACATGAGACCCTGTCACAAAAGTAAAATAATCAGCTAATGTTTTTATGAGTGGGAAAATATCCTTTGTTTGTAGTTTTGTTTTGTTTTGTTTTTTGCCTTGGTTATTAAGACTCTGAATAAGATTGCCCTGTTCTCGACCTTTGCTGCCTGTGTGTTCACATGCTCCTCAGGCTCTTCCGACGAGTTCAAAGAGTTCTCAGTTTGAACTGACATTTGCCACTTGAGAGCTTAAAAAATTAATGCTAGTGCTAGGCAGTATCTCCAAAGTTCTGATTTTCATTGGTTTGGAGAAGGACTAAGATATCTAGGTTTCAGAAGCAATTTAGGTAATTCTCTTAGCACATTCATATTGCTTGGTTTTCCTCAATCATGTCTTCTTGCCTCTTTTTTTATCCTTGAGTCCCGTTTGTTTTTCCCACTCATTTATATTAAAGCTGTGTCTAATCATTTCTCAATTATACTTTTCCTTCTGAGCTTGTCAGTGTTACCTCTTTGTGGTTTAACAGGTGCTTTCTCAGAAACATTGCAATTCCCACAATAATTGCCACCGTGACTTTGTGACAGATAGCTGTGTGCCTTCTTTTCATAGGAAAGCTGAGGGACAGAATCAGCACCAGGTGCAGAAGAGACTAAAGGGAATTGTTGGCATTTCTCTATGAACAGCCTATCAGGTTTCATACAGCATGTCCAATCCTTAGGATTCACTTTTCGAACTGTTACTTTGAGTTTCTTGAAAGCAGGGATTGTTACTTTATTTTCTGTGTTGTTACAATACCTAGCTTGAACATAGTGGAGCTCAGAAATCACTTGTTTAATATAATAATAAATTGTAATGGGCTGGCTATTTTTATGGGAAAATATCAGAAGCAGGGAAGTAGCTTATTTCATCTTTTTTAAATTTGTGGAATTAGTGTGCTTAAATATGAGCTCCTGTTTCTAGAGCAGAAATTAATACATTATTAAACATTAAGGAATGAGATTAATGGGATTTTTTTTTTTTTTTTAGTTGTGCTTCTAACTTGATTTGGTGTCTTTGTTTGTTTGGTTGGTTGGTTGGTTTTGTTTTTGTTTTTTTGAGACAGGGTTTCTCTGTGTAGCCTTGGCTGTCCTGGACTTTGTAGATCAGGCTGGCCTTGACCTCAAAGAGATCCACCTGCCTCTGCCTCCCTGAGTACTGGGATTAAAGGTGTGCCGCCATGCCTAGCTGTGTCTTATAAGCACATTTTTATTCAGGAGATTTGAAACTGCTCTCAGTTCTGAAGATGAAGTCAGTGGAAGAGCACCTGCCTAGCATGTACACCCTGGATAAAAGTCACCAGTAAAAGGCAGAATAAAGGAGGTGCGATAGCGAAAATAAATGTCTTTTAAGTAACATAGAAATTAGAGTGAACTTATGAAATGAAATGAAATGAAATGAAATGAAATGAAATGAAATGAAAACATTGACCATATTACAGATATCTAGAAGGTGTTTAAAGAATTAGAAGATCTAGTACTTGAAGTAATTTAACTTCATGAAGTAATTTAACTCTGGATGAAAAGCTTTATTTCATTATTAAGCAGATTTTAGCACTGGTCTTGTTGTAGTGCATTTTCTCTTTCTAATAATGCAGTGCAATAGGCAAGATAATTCATAGAAAAAAGACTGGCTCATGGTGCCAGACTGATGGGCTTCATCTGGTGGTGGTCTTCTTACTGGCAATCACAATTTGATGGAGAACATCAAAACCACAAACAAGGAAATCTAGGAAAACTGGCTTTTGTAACAGACTCACCTTAGAAACAATCAGCCTTGGAATCCATTAATCATTTGATCGGATTAATCTGTTTATTAGAAGAGCTGCCCTAATTACCCCTGAAGTTTCTCTTCTGTTCCCTCCTAACATCTTCTAGTGGGGATTAAAGTAGAACAAATTTTAGAATGAATCATAGCATGGATTAATACACAATTTTGTTTCAGTACACACCTGTAATCCCAGCGTTCAGGTGGTTGAGACAGGAGAATTAGCATAAGTTCTAAGCCAGATAGGCTACGTAGCAAAATATTGTTTCAATAATACAATCATTTTTACTTTTTGCAATGGTTCTAGCTTTAATTGAAAATATATTTTAATCTGAACTGTATTTTATGTTTTATTTTTCAGAACATTGAAGTAAACAGAATTCCTTCATTGAAAACCAATAGTTCCACCTACCATCATATTTCCGCTTTTGTGAGTAGACAGGTGAGCACAAAGGAGGTGATTGGCTTACTTGTTGTTCATGACTCACTTGAGTATTTCTGTGTTTACTCAGTTTATTTTATTTTATTTTTTAAGATGTATTTATTATGTATACAATATTCTGTCTGCATGTAGACCTGCACACCAGAAGAGGGCATCAGATCTCATCATAGATGGTTGTGAGCCACCATGTGGTTGCTGGGTATTGAACTCATGACCTTTGGAAGTGCAACCTATGCTCTTAACCTCTGAGCCATCTCTCCAGTCCTACTCAGTTTATTTTTATCTTGAGTGTATGTCTGGTGTGGCCAGTTCTCAAACTTTGATCAGTCCTACTAACTACTCTAGGGTAACAGAGAACAAAAAGCCTTCTAAATTTGCTTTGCATTATTATGTCAGATACATGGTGGTCCTATATAAATGGAAGAAATACATGACTATTTGTGACTGTCTTTTAAATGGTAAATATGTTTTTATCATACCTTCTACAAAATAGGCTTCATTGTAACGTAAAGTGGGTTTCAAAAACTTACAGTCATAAAATAATAAAAGCTTTGTAAAAACAGAGCTTTATATAGAAGGTAAACTAGGAGAACCATCAATGATCCCACTACCAAAAGACAAAATGGTTAATATCATATGAATTAGAGTCTGTCTTTATGTATAAATATTCACGCAAACATTTAAAAACGGGATTTTTTTTTTTCAAATGTCATGGATGTTTTGCCTTCCAACTATGTCTGTGTGCTTGCAGAAGCTAGAAGAGGGGATATCTGATCCTCTAGGACTTGAATTACAAACAGTTGTGAGCTGCCAAATGGGTACTGGGAATTGAACCTGGGTCCTCCAGAACCATAGCCACTGCTCTTAACTGGTGAATCATCTCTCCAGCCCCTAAAAACAGGATTTTTAACAGCCCACTCATAATTCATGCTTCATTTAATAATAAAAACGTAATAATCTTGTACATTTATGTCTACATCTGATTGTATATTAAGAATAGATTTCCAGAGAAAAAAATTACTATTTCCAAACTATGTAACATTTAATAAAGTTAATTAAATTGCCTTTTAAAAAGTTCCAACATTAGAGTGGCTTTCTTCCCATTTCTTTATCATGATGTGTGTGTGTGTGTGTGTGTGTGTGTGTGTGTGTGTGTGTGTGTGTGTGTAAAAATAAGCTTGTGCGATATTATGATTACAACATTAACTTCAGTCTACTACTAGCTTGCATTTAGTTACTCTTGATTTATGAAATATTAAATACTTGTTGCCTTAAAATAAAGTCCCACTCCTTCTACATCCCCAAACCTCTTTCTTTTCTTTTGTCTTTGTTTTTTGTTTAAAACTGGGTCTCATTTTGTAGCCCTGGCTGGCCTAGAACCCCACCTACTCTGTCTTCTACATTCTGGCATTAAAGACATGGACCACCATGACTAGTCCCTCTAACCCCTTCTGTTCTTCACGTTGCATATTTCATTATCATTCACGTTATGTATGGTTTTGAAGTTTCCCTCCCCCTTAAGATTTTAATTTATCCAAATTGACATTCTGCTTTAAATTTATCTTCATGAGGGGCAGAATTCCATAGCAACTTTTTTCGTGAAAATTTCATGGCCTGAATGGAGGGAAGTGTTGTTCTAATAGCTTATTTTGTTTAATATTCTATGCTCATTACAATTTTTATTTAATCTATTTTTGTTCTGCCTGAGATTATCTAAGTTTGTATAATAATTATGTTTGTAATAGGTACTAATGTTTGTTTGTTTTGCCTTGCTTTTGTGTAACCCTGGATGTTTGGCACTTACTCTGCAGACCAGGCTGGCCTCAAACTCAAAGAGATCCACCTGCTTCTGCCTCCCTGAGTGCTGCGAATAAAGGCGTGTGCCACCACTGCCTGGCTGTGTAACCATTTTTAATAGGCTTACTTGGTTAATGAAACTCTTCTTTTCCTTGTCAGTCTCTTCACCTCCTATCTCACTATTTGGGGAGTTTTTATGTTTTTTCTGTGAGACAGTGTTTTACTTTAGTTCAAAATGGCCTTAAACTCAGTGTCTGAAGGAGTGAGCCACCACATCCACACTGGGAGCCTTTAATTTTATGTACAAAGTTAATAACTTTTGTTTTTATTATTAATTTCCTTTGTTTGTTTGTTTGGGGACAGGGCTTCTCTGTATGGCCTTGGCTGTCCTGGACTCGCTTTGTAGACCAGGCTGGCCTCAGACTCAGAGATATCACTTGCTTCTGCATCCCCGAGTGCTGGGACTACAGATGTGTACCACCAAGCTTTTCTTTTGTTTTAATTTATTGATAGAATTTGATCATAAAAAAAACAAAGCTTTTCATTTCTGGTTACATTCAAAATACTGCTTATGGGGCTGAAGATGTGGCTCAGCAGTTAAGTGCTTATTTGTGTTACAGAGCACCCACACCCACAGTGCACTTCTTATAACCAGACTTAGCTCCAGCTTCAGGAAACCAGCTGCCCTCTTCTGGATTCTCAGGGAACCCTGCATTTGTTCACACATGCACGTAATTAAAATGAAATAAATGTTAAGCAAAATGTTGTATATATTTGAAAGTAAATATTCAAATAAGAGTAACGATGTGGTAATTGACATAGTCTGTATTTCTACATGAGTTCTAGGAAGCCAGGGTTATAGTTAAGTCATTATTCTGGTCTTCTTAGTTGAGTCAGCATTGCCATTTAGAGGAATATCTTAAAAATCATAAAGTAAGGTTGGGCAGTGGTGGTGTACACCTTTCATCCCAGCACTCAGGAGGCAAAAGCAGGCAGATCTCTGAGTTTGAGGACAGCTTGATCTACAGAGCTAGTTCTAGGGTAACCAGGGCTACTAAAAAATAAATCATGAGTAAAACCTTTGAGTAGACAAAATCCTGATGTGTTTTAAAATAGATGTACAAGATTTTCTACTAATAATTTGATCATTTTATAGTGGATGTTATAATTGCAGATATTAAAAACTGTTTTACTGCTGGACGTATAGTCCCAGCACTTGGGAAGTGGAAGCAGGTAGATCTAAATGGGTTTGAGGACAGCCAGGGCTACACAAGAAACCCTGTCTTGAAACCCCTCCCCCATAACCCCAGTAAATTCACTTGCTTTTAAATAATCAAATCTTATTTAATTTTATATAAGTAGAAAAATACTCTATTAATTACATTACTTTTTAAAGCTGTTTCTTTAACACTTCTTTAAAAAAGATGTAAAATTATGTTGATTGACTGCTAGCCAGATGCTCACTTGGCTGCTGAAGAAGAAGCTAGACGGTTGGAAGGACTACGTAAACAGGCAGTACAGGAGAGAATGGAACAGCTTGAGAGGGCTCATGTTCGAGGATCCCAAGCCATGAAGAAGATCCACTTGGCGCAAGTAAGATCTCCTGTGACCTGTGACTGCTGCTGATGGGCTGGTTGGTGGCCTTGTAGAACTGCTTGGGGAGTGAGGTCAGAGTCCTAGAGTATGAATTTGTGTCTCTTAACTGTCTTTTCTGTTGTGATAAATATACCCCCCCACCCCCAAAAAAAAGCTACTTAAGGAAGAAAGGAAGGAAGAGTTTATTTTACCTCACAGTTGAAGGTACAGTCCATCATGGAGGGCAAGTCAAGGAATCAGGAGCTAGTCACAGAACACCAGTCAGGACCAGAGCACGATGCCTAAAGCTGCTCAGCCTTCTTTCTCATACGGTTTAGCACCCACAGTGGTCAGGTCTCCAGTTTCTTCAGTTTCTTCAGCCAGATAATTCCCCACAGGCATGCCCAAAGGTACATCCCCTGGTGATTCTAGATTTTGTCATGTTACCAGGGTTAACCGCCACATAAAGTACATAAAGTCTCTGAATTCTATAGTTTCCTTAAAATTTCCCAGTATCCTTTGCCATCCTTTTTAAAGTTCAGGTTAAAGAAAGCTGTTCTTACAGTGTATCTTTGTTTTGCATGTTTACTAATGCATTTTTTAAACATTTATTCAATCCAAGAAAAGCCTAAAAAGATGACTCACTTTTTTCATGTAGTAATTTTTATTGCATTTGTGTTGTATAAATTTGTGCAATTGATTCTTTTAAGTATTTTCTAAGCAGAACATTTACTGTCCCTTTAGATGTTGATTCAAAGGTCAGCTCATGTCCTTATTCTTGAAACACAGCATAGAGTGACTTATCTTGCTGCATGTTTCTCTCATGTTTCTCTGTGTGTGTTTGACTACATTTGTGTATTTTAACCCCAGCACCTTAGGAGAGATTTTTTAAGTGCTTCATTGGACATTAAATGCTTATCCTGAGGAAGTTTACTTGAAAGTGGGATTTAGATTGTGACCTCCTCCCTCAAATTGTTCACTTTCCTAAGATAGAAGTAACTTATGACTCAGTTAACTGAATGTCTGAATTACTAATAATTGTCATCTAAGACTTAAACCTATGAGAAATAATAACAGGAACTGTGAGGAACAGTTACAAGTTGAATCCATTCTTCCATAAAAGCAGCAGTGTTGAGTGGCCTCAGAAGTGAGCTTCCACAGCCTGCCTGGATTTACCTCTGTGCTGTCTTAGCTCACTCTCTGAGCTGTTTTATCATCTGTTTCCTGAGGACTGCAAAAGGCTCATAGGAGCATGCATGGAATTTTATAAATTCACCGTAATTAGGAAAAATACTAATAGAGTGACATACCATGCTTCCAAAGAGCCAGAATAATGCACTTACTCAAATAGCAAGTAATACATATACTGTCATTAAAAACCAGTTGTTCAGGCCACTCCTCTTTACTCTAGACTAGTATTCCTCACTTAAGAAAAGTAATCCAGGCCAGAACGTAGCCCATGCTTTTAATCTCAACACTTGGGAGTCAGAGGCAGGCAGATCTCTGAGTTCAAGGCCAGCCTGGTCTACAGAATGAGTTCCAGAACAACTAGGGCTACACAGAGAAACCCTGTCTTGAATCCTGTTCTCCCTCCCACCCCACCCCCCAAAAAAAGTCATCCAAAGAGATTCCATTCTCTTACTTGATCTGGGAACTTATTTTCTACTGGGCCTGTTGTAATTGGCATTTAGATTCTGTCTGCATCTGGTTTTATTTTATTTTTTGTCTGTAATCCCTTTGCCCTCTTCCCTAGCCATACAAATGATAGGTTACCTTCATAGCCATAGCAGCTATGTGCTGCCCCTGTTTTTTCTTCTACTACTTCCTCCTCTTTTGTATGACTAAACACTTATCCAGAAACTGAAGAGGTTTCTCAGATCTGTCCTTTACCCTTTACCATCAAAGCTGAATTAGGTAACTTCATTATACTTTCATGTTAGTAGTACTCTACACATAAAAGAGTACTCCACACACAAACCCTCTTTAATCATGAGACTCAGGAGTTTGGAGTGATGCAAAAGTATGGTTATTTAAGTCACAGTCACTTAGGACCTGAGCAGTACAGGGAAAACTGAAGCACGTACAGCACCTTGCAGGAGCCCTTGGCAGTTAAACAGGGCATGATGATATAGCTTTCCTCTCCCAGGAGAATGGGTAGTGGCAGACACTTTCCAGACTTGATGGTCTAAGCAGTAGCAACTGTGCTACCCGTTTTTCCCATTACTAGTCTACTAATTCAGCATTCAGCAGATATTTGTTAAATGTATACATCAGTATACAATGTCTTCTGTCAGAATAAATGGAAGAGGGGGAAATTTTAGGCCTTATTCTTCACACTTTCACCTCTCCAGTTAATATAACTGTCTCAAATTTAACTCAGCTGTCACTAATCTGTTCATTCTATTGAAGAACCAAGAGAGACTAATGGAAGAACTCGAACAGCTGCAGAAAGAAGACTTGGCACGTAGACGACAGACAGTGGCACAGATGCCACCCCAACTAGTTGAACTGCCGTACAGACGCAGCGAGCTAAAAGAAGACTGGCAGCGAGAGCTGGAGTTCGCCTTTGAAGATATGTACAATGCAGACAGGAGTAAGAGACTTTCAGGGGTGCTTGTACATGTTTTGGTGGGAAATAATATTTGTAGTGATAAACTGTGTATTTATAAATGAGTTATTGTGCAAAAAGAGACCTAAAAACTGATAGCCTTTAAAAAGAGAACAAAAAAAAAAAAAAAAAGCCGGCTGTGGTGGCTCATGCCTTTAATCCCAACACTCAGGGAGGCAGAGGCAGGTGGAACACTGTGAGTTTGAGGCCAGCCTGGGCTACAGAGCAAGTCCAGGACAGTCAAGACTACACAGAAACCCTGTCTCTCAAATAAACAAAGAGAAACTGATAGTCTTAAAAATTTTATAATGAAGGATTTTTCTCCCCAAGTATTTTCATTCATATTAGAAGGGAAACATGTCTCTGTATTTCTTTATTCAGAGGTGAAAGGAAACCTGATTTTGCATCTTAAGCCTCAGCCTTTGCCCACAATATCTGAACATCTCCAAGATGAAGAACTGGACCTTTCAATGGAACAAGAAAATCAAGGAGAAACTGAGAACCTTCAAGTGCGAGACACTGAAATAATATGTCCTAGTGGAACAGGTGGTAAAAGCTCCTAAGCTGAATGTTAAAACTCGAAAGAATTTTAATCATTATCTAATGGTATTAGCTAATAATAAGTACAGATGATGACACTAATAGTAGCAGTGTCATTCTTTATGTCTTTGTATTTCTGCTGTTGGAAGTCAGTTCCACACTTGTTGGAGGGAGCCACTCACACATGATACCATCTGGAGATCTTGAGGTTATGTGAATGAGATGCTTAGTTCTAAATTCATTTGAAGGGTCAGCAGTCTTAAGATTTGACCAGATCATTAGAAATTCTATTGTGTTCCATTGCTGCTGGGTACTTCATGTAGTATGATGAGTTATACAAACTTTGATCTCCTACCCTTTACCCCTACCTGCAGTGTTGGACTTTCTCACTTGGCTGTTTCACAGGTACTTAACACCAGCACTAAGCTCAGTCACTTCTTGCCTACTGAAACCTTCGCTTCCTAACTTAAGTGATTGATGGGGTCGTCAAGATGCCTCAGTGGCTGAAACCACTTGTCTTCGAGCCTAATGACCTCAGTTTGATTTCTGGGACCCAATGGTGGAAGGAGGGAACCAACTCCTAGAAGTTGTCCCTTCCCCAGTAAATAAATAAATGTAATTAAGTGAGTGATGGTATTGTGGTTACCTGAGGCAGACCAAACACTTTTTCACTTCTGCCTCCTTAAAGACCAGATCCACATCATTGAACTGACCTCATTTTTCCTTTTTATTTCTATCTGTGTTGCCTTTATGCCATGCCAATCAGTTTACATCTCATCACCAGCAGCCTACACTATGGAACTAGCTCTTTTAAGGCTCTAACTTGATGTTGGGAGCTCAGGGCCTTCTCCCCGTCTTCTCTGCCTACGAGTCTCTCTTCACAAATATGGTACTCTGGTTTGTCTCTGCTGTTAGCTCAGCAGACAGTGGGTTCGGTAATTACCCACTCTGTTTTTTCAGTTTTTCCAAAAACTTTTTTCTGAAGAATCTTATTTTCTTGCTAGATTAATAGTGTCTTTGAGAAGACTTTTTTTTTTAACCATTTCATCCAGAGTTTTAGTTGTTCTAATGGAACTTTTTATTTATATTTCTAGTAAGCCAGAGTTGAAGCCTAGCATTACTTAAAGAAACAATCTGGTGCATGGGCTGTAATCCCAGCACTTGGAGGCAGAGGCAGGTGGATTATCTTGAGTTCAAGGCCACCCTGGTCTGCAAAGCAAGTTCAGGACACCCAAGGCTACACGAAGAAACCCTGTCTCGAAAAACAAAACAAAACAAAAAAGACAAAAAAAACCACTATTTTCTGTTGATCCCAGTTAGGATTTGGCTTAATGTTTCTTAGTCTTCCAGCTTTTCATAAAAAGCTAAGAAACTGGTGTTGTTCCAACTATTCAGGAGGCAGAGCCAACAGGACAACCAATAGTTTGGTGCTGGTCTGGACAAAATAACAATAATTTGTTTCTTGAACAACCACAAAAGGCTAGGAATTCCCATTACCATCCTCATTGAAAATAACTACAGATAAAACATGGTAGTGTTGCTCAGTGGTAGAGTATTTGCCCAGCATGTGTAAGGCCTTAAGTTTTATCCCTAGTACATACACGCAAAATATGGATGGATGAATGAATAGATGGATTAGACAATGAATCTATCTTTAAAATGGGTAGATCACAGATTAATGATTAACTAAATAAACCAGGCAGAAAATGTTACCCTAAGTATATGGCTCTGTTCATATAGAATTAAGGAACAGGATAAACTACTGTATAGCCCTGTGTGGCTTTGAGGCAGGGTACAGGTAAGTTACCTTTTGTGTCTATTGATGAATAAGGACAAAGGGCCTCAGTGCTAGAGATGTTGCACAGTGACCTGGACACTGTTGCTGGACACATCTGTGACATTTGCTGCACTGCACATACAGTTTTTGTGTGCTGAACTATAAACTACTTTTTTTTTTTCTTCTCCTTTTTGGAGGTTGTGGGGTTTTGAGACAAGTTTTTGTTTGTACCTTTGGCGGACATGGAACTCGCTTTGTAGACCAGGCTGGCCTTGAACTTACAGAGATCCTCCTGCCTCTGCCTCCAAAGTTCTGGGTTTGCTACATTTTCAATTCTGTTAGAATTTTTTTTTAAATATGGATTATAATGTACTTCATTGCCAGTTTTCAGCATCTTTGATATTCGTAACCTTTTCTTGATTAAACCAAAGCATTGTGTGCTTGCATCACAGTTTGCTCCCCACAGAGAATTTTTAGTTCTGTTCTTAGGTTGTGCCATCTCTGTGGAGGAATACTTGAAGGGATACCTTGTTTTGGGTTTGATAACCGAAAGGGTTTCCTTATGATGAGAGAGAGATTTATCCCAGGTGTTAACAAGAACCATTTGAAAGCAGGTGCTTTACTTCGAAGAGTTTAAAGTTGTTTTGGTTTGGGTGTTTTGTTTTGTTTTTTATTTTTCCCCTGTAGCCTGCTAAGAACTGTGTGGGCTATTCCCTAGCACAGAGCATGAAATCTTCCGGTGTGTTACTCAAACAGTAGCCTCAGGCACCAGGTAATGAGGAGTGTGCCATCACCTAGCAAGCAGAGTGAATGTCCTCCTGAGAGTTAAATTTGAAATTAGTATACATGTATTATGTTATTGGAAATGCTCTAAATTTGAATTTAAGTTGAAAAAATTAAACTTGATTGTTAAACTAAGACAATTTTGCTATCGTTGTTGAATATACTGCTAACCTTTAAGTACTGAAAATAAAGTCATGCTTTTGTTTTAACTAAATAATTATAGCAGTTACTGAGTATAAAGATAGAACAATTTGCCTAAAAATATTAAAGTAAATTTTCTCTGTTTTAGTGTCCTTTGCAACAAAGACCCAACAAATTCCCGCAAGAATTCTTTTTAAAAGATTATTAAATAAGATTCGAAGCCAGCAATCTCTCTGGACAATTAAATCCGTGTCTGAGGATGAAGGTGAAATGACTACAAGTACCAGTGAGATTGAGAGTAAAGCAGCAAGCATGGAATCAGGAGCCATTGCCACGGAGGAAGGAACACTGTTCTCTGAGCAGGAACAAGGTGCGATCTCCAGTAGTTGTCTGACAGCACATTGTTAAAAGAATGCTCATACCTGAGTTTAGGGGTTAGCAAAGTGGTAGAGCCTCAAGGTCCTGGTTTCAGTCTGTATTTTGGCAGTGGGGAGGGGGCGGTAGGGTTGGGAGTAGTGGGGAAGGGTAGTAGTTGACTCATGTATGAGAAATCAAAGAATAGAGATCAAAAGTTAAGAAACTGACTGGAGAGGTGTCTCAGTGGTTAAGAACACTTAGATTCAATTTTTGCACCCACATGGTGGCTTGTGGCCTTCTATAACTGCAGTCCTAGACAATCAGACCCCCTCTCTGTCCTCTGAAGGTACTAGGCTGGCACGTGTTATACAGACATACATCAGGCAAAATACCCATATACATAAAACTTTTAAATTTAAGAAACAGTTCAGCTACTTAATGGCAACAGAAGAACATTGAGTATGTTAATGAACCTCCTGTACCACTGCTGCTCTCTGTGTGAACTCTGGAAATCATTGAGCCACAGCAGTTAGTTACCGTAGTAAGTACTTGTAACATTTAGACTATTGCTTTCTTGTTTCTGCATGCCATGCCTAGTCATTTACTTATGTCTTTTTAAAAATATATACGTTTATGCCTGTTTATGTGCACAACGTGCATGTGGAGATCAGTCAGAAGGCATCAGATCCCCTGGAACTGGAACTACAGTTGGTTGTGAGCAACCATATGGGTGCTGGGAACAAGACCCAGATCCTCTAAAAGAGTAGTAGGCACACTTGAACAGCTAAATTTTTCTAACCTCCCCACACTTTATTTTATTTTTTTGAGACAGGGTTTCACTGTGTAGCCTTGGCTGTCCTGGACTCACTTTGTAGACTAGGCTGGTCTCGAATTTGGAGATCACCTGCTCTGCCAACCCTAGCGCTGGCATTACAGGCATGCAGGCATTTACCTGACTTCCACATCTTTATTTTTTAATAAGAATTTTTAGAAAACTATTTTTAGTTAAAAGAAAAACATATATTAGTGATTTTCAAAGTGTTGAATATGTCTTTCCATTCCCATCAGAAATAGTTTATTTATTTGTTAACTTTAAAGAACTGGGGAGTAGGTCTTAAATATACTTTCAGAAGTCACTAGGATCATATGAACAAGGTTTCTATATATTGTGAAGGTATACTCTGATTTCAACTGTTTTTCTTAAGAGTTTTATCTTTTGGATTATTTTTTTTTTTTGAAGGTATGTTTCTATGTGTATGGAAATGTTTTGCTTCCAAGCTTTTGAGAGAAGATAGTTGGATTTTACACTGTACATAAGAAGCCTTGGCCCGCGCTCTTTACTAGGCCTTCTAACACCTCTCTCTGTTTTTCTCCTTTGTGGTTTCTTTTGCTGCACCCACTGGGCTATTGCCCTCAGAATCCATTCTTTAGATCTGTTTTCCTTCATTTAAATCTCTGTAGCTTACTCTGACTCACACTTTACAATATTACATATTTACTGATGTCATCTAAAGTGCATGTTTCTCCAGTTGGTCTCCTTGGACTCAACTCATTTAATATTTTCTCTTTCAAATCTAGCACCATCTGAGATTTTCTCCAGATTGAATTCTGAATAACTCTTTCCCCATCTACAGGTGCTTTTGTCACTCCCCTCCCCCAGTTCCCCACAGCTCAGTACTTGGTAATATGTTCATTTGTTCAAGCAAAAAAAGTTTAAATCATTTTGGCTCTACTTGATTACCTACATCCAGACTATCAACAATTTCAATTGGTCCCACACTTAAACTATATTTAAAACCCAACCATTTCTCACCACCAGTCATTCTAGTTTCAGCTGCATTTGTTTTCTAGTGTAGATTCTTGTCACAGTTCAATCTTCATCCTTTGCAACTCCCACTAGGGTCTCTTCATCAAGTGACCATGTAAGAACCCAGGTCAGCTCATTTTGTTCTTCTGCATCAGGCCCTAGCGTGAGTATGTGATTCACTCAGTTGAAACCAGACTGCTCAGTGTGGCTTCACACACATATTCTCTGACTTGGTTCTCTTCATATCTCTTACGACCACTGTACTGTAGATGCTGGCTTCCTCCCTGCTCCTCAGACGGCCTAATCACAGCTCACATTGTTCAATGTTTTGGCCAGTATTCTGCTGTAGATGTTTCTGTGGCTTGCTCCCTTACTGCCTTTCTGAATATGTTCAACTGCTGATTTCTCAGTGAGGCTTTCTCGCTCACTTTATATAAAATGGCACTTCTGCCTTCTTGGTAGTGCTCCCATCTCGTCACAATCTCTCTCAATCTGCTTTTTCTTTTTAGCTCTTTCCAGCAGGCAATAGACTTGCTTTCTTGTTTATTTTGCTTATTTTCTTCACATCTAACCCATTTGTGAGAGAGGACCTTGAAGATTTTATTCATTGCTCTGTTCTCAGAGGCCTTGTGTATAAAAAGTTCAGTTGTTGAATTAGTTGAATAGCTTAGTTAATTCAGGAAGTCACATATTTAAAGCATGAGAATGGAAGTTTCTTTTGGAGGAGAGAATTCAGTGAGAAGGGAGCTGACATATGACCACCTAAGGGATTCCAGCTATAGAGGAAGCTATAGGAGGCCAGACAAGTAGAAAGAATACATTATTGGAATCCTAATAAAAGGAACTCTGCTGCTGAACCTATAATTACATTCTTTTGAAAATGTCCTGCATGAATAGGCATTCTCCTTTTATTTTTGCTGTTGTTTTACTTCAATGACTGATCCACAGCCAAGCCACTATGTACAGACATGAAGGAAGCTTCATTTCTTGGTCTCTTCCTCTGTCTCTTGATGATCTCCTCCTTCTTGGCCTGAAGGCTATCCTCCCTGCACTTCCATGCTTCCTTGGACTTAGATTTACTAGCCTCAGCCTTCTCAGCCAGAAGCTCCTTTTGGCATCTAAGCGTTGGCTGTACCCTTCTGCTTCCCTATGCCCTTGTGTGTGCCCTTCCATCAAGCCAAGGTGTTAGCCAGCATCGAGCCCAGAAATGGACTGTCACAGGCTGATCAATGATCAGCCCATCAATGATCAGCTTCCTGATTTGCTGATGGGAGTTGGCATTGGCGATTTCATTGGTCTCATTGGGGTCCAACCAGACCTTCTTTTTTCCAGAGCAGAGGACACTAGAGGAAAGCGTCTTCTGTAGCCTGAGCATACTCTTGGCTGTGGATGCAGCAGCAAAAGGGGGATTCTCCACTTTCATCTTACTTCATTCTTCTTTTTTCAGCTTACTACATGCCTTGCCTGTGGTGTTTGTGTAGGTCTGTTCCTCTCCTTCACCTGACCTCCTTCCTTATCGTTATCATTTTCTCAGAGAAAGCACACCTGACTCACCAATCTAGTGTCCTTATTTATTGTGTAATAATAGCCTTTATTTTCTTTACATAGTACCTGGTTTTAATTCTCTAAGTTTTTCTGAGCTGATTATATGATGTTTCTGTCCCTCTTTCAACCTTCAAACCTCTTTGAGGTCTCTTGTCATTCAGTACAATATTCCTTGTCATCTGCCATAACATGATAGATGATTGAATGAGTGCTCTGTGCAAAATAATTGGCTATCCTTATATGATAAAATCCCTAGAAACTAGTTATTCTAGTAAAAATTCATTGATATTTCTTTAGCTCCTCTTTGGCCTTTGATTTTTTTCTTGTAATATTTGCCTTAGGTTGGATGGTTAATGTATGTAGCTACCGAAAAGATGACTGAGTCTTCACTGAATGTCCACTTCATGTGGACCAAGAGAGAATGGCTGATCTGAATTCAGGTTCCTGTTGTTTTGACACTGTCATAACAGTGCTATCTTTTACAGTCACGGACAGTGATAGGCTGACGATTGAGTCAGGACCACTGAGTAGTGAAGATAAGCTATTTTTCTACCAAGCGGGTGCTGGAAAGGAACAAGGTATTTCTTCTGTCTTATACTCCAATTAAACTTACTTGGTTCCTCATATTTTTTCTGTAGTCATCTTTCTGAATAACAATTGAGAAGCTTATTTTTGTTTGGGGGCTCTTGTAGCGATGGCTGTGTCTCCACCTGTCACAACTGTGGCTCAGAGTTCAGTACTGCTTCATCCTCAGGAAGAAGCAGTCAGAATTCGAATGTCAGCAAGGCACAAACAGGTAAGCAGGCCCTGGGGTTACAGTTTTGTTTGACCTGTGCAGCATGTCTTAATCTATGATTCTTTGATAACATGATTTATATATCAGCTTGACATAGTGTATTTGGTCTCTGCTTATACTCATTTGCCTCCTAAATCTCTGCTGCATGCTTTTTTCCACTTTCTCTTGGTTCTCCCATAATCCCCTTGGCAACATCAGTGACAGATTTAAGACTACTTATTTCATGGATAATGGGTCCGTTTGTTGATGACATATATTTCTTTTCAATGCAATGTATGTGAACATTTCTCTTCAGTGTCTGTTGTTAGTTAGAACAATAATATTCTCATTACTTAGATAATGGAGATAGAAGAGCAGAAGCAGAAGCAGTTGGAATTACTTGAACAAATTGAGCAACAGAAGTTAAGATTAGAAACTGATTGTTTCCGGGCTCAACTGGAAGAAGAAGAGAAACAAAAGAAAACTCAGTTTGAGGTAGCATGGCATTGGGAGGCCAGAAAATGTTGTTTATGTTCCATTCACCTGGTAGATTTCCTCTTCAGTTTGTGTCCTGTGCCAGTATAGATATGATCAGGTTTATTAGTAAGATGTGTGTTGAGCTGCTGGATTTACCTGACACTGTAGAAAACAGTATATTCATTTTTAGGTTTGCCCTGCCTCAATGTCACATGCTATGATTTCTGATGAAGACTGTCACAGGCAGATGATTCGTAACTATCAACATCAGCTTTTACAACAAAATAGGTACGGAATGAAGTATAATTTCTGTGAGACAGAGTCTTTCATCTTGGGGATTTATGATTTGTTTTCTATTAGGATCCTATTGGAAGTACCTTAGAAATTGCCATGGTGTTTTTTTAAGGGAAGTAGAATCACTGTAAATATCGGCAACCTTAGATTGATGCTTATAGATTGTAATGTGTAAGATTTGGGAATTTGAGGGTTTTTTTTTTAAATTACAAATTACTGGTATTTGTTTTTATATTTGTTTTTGATAGGTTACACAAGCAGTCTGTTGAGACTGCCAGGAAACGATTACTTGAATACCAAACTGTATTAAAAGAAAGATGTCTCCCTGTACCAGCCATATCACTGGCACCTGATTCTGTTGTATTAGGGCCGCCACAGAAATCCCAAAAGTCTGCTGCTGCATCAGAGCATTGGGATCCAAGCCAGAGACTGAAGCTAAGTCCTACCAAATGTCAACCTGTGCAACCCTCACATACCCCTGCATTAGATCATGGTGATATTCAGTTACCAGGTGAGGGTCACTTTCCACAGAGGCAAGGAGAAACAGGTACATCAGAGAAGTTAACCAAGCAGTCTGTGGAGTCACAGGAACATCGACAGCAGTTCTCTCAGGCAGAAATGCATGAGAAAGACTCTGAGTCCATCCCTGAAGATTCTCAAGCACTTTCAAGAACTTTGTCTTCTGATAGGCCACTGGTACTTGCATGTTCTTTTGCTAGTCTCCCAGTTAAACTTGAATCTGGAAAAATTCAGAAACCCTTAAAAACCATAAACCAGTCTGTAATCACTCAAATGCCTGATCAGCCTTTGTCATTCTCAGAAACAAGCACAGCCCAGCAGGGTGACTTAAAAGTTCTCCAAGAACAGTTAGAACTACAGAAGGAAGTTCTTCAGGCAAGACAAGAGGCTCAGGAAAAGCTGCTTTTGTATAAACAGAAAGAACTGGAAAAGCAGACTGCTCTTCAAGTATTTCTACCTTCATCTTCATCAGTTGGAAACTTACTTCCTTCACTGTCATCTGCCTCAGCTGAATCAGGAGAAATCCAGGCATCTTCAACAGAAAGTGATGGCACTGTTTCCTCAGGCAATGTGGACAGGCTTTGGGGTGTTTCACAGCCTATCTCCTCACAGCAAACCAGTTCAGAATTTCTCCAAGAACAGTTCAGTGTTCAAAAGGATAACCTTCAGGCTAGGCGAGAAGCCCAGGAGGTCATGTTTGCACATAAACAGAGTAAACTGGATGAAATTGTATGTCCTGAACAGGCTGGGCCTTCTTGGCCACATCAGGTGGCTCAGCAGTCATTTAGTTCCCTAACATTGGCTTCTAAACAATCTAGAAAAATCCAGGAACAGCCTTTACCTACAAACAAAATAGGGCTTTTCCCAAGCCAGTCTGAAACCTCAAAATCTCAGGATGGCTCTTCAGCTTTTCTACAGCAGACCCTACCACTTCACAGAAGTTTAAAGTTTCTGCGAGAACGGCTGACAGCGCAGATGGATACGATTCAGCCTAGACATGACACTCAAGAGGCATTACTTTTACATAGAGAAAGTGCTTTGGGAGGCAGTAGGGCTGGGCCAGTAAATTCACTTTTCTCAGTGTTTGCTCACCATTCAGATGCTTCTCGTGCAGTTTCAGAAGCTGGTTCGAAGAGATTCCAGGAACAATATTCATCTGGGAAAGAGAATATTGTTCCCCCCAGTCACCCGATCACCCCAGAACTTCAGGAGGAGTCTCGTGGCTTTCCACAGCACAGCCTTCCAAGACAACATTTTATAACACTCCAGGATCAGGCACATATTCCGAGGTTTATACATGGTTCTAGAAAAGAGATTCAGGAATTTTCACACAAACTAAATGAATTAGAAAAAGGACTTTGTTCGCAACAGTCTGGCACCTTGTCTTCTCCATCCCAAGTAGTGGAATTAGAAAGATCCCAGGAGTTTATATCAGTCAGTGATAGTACAGGTCCCTTAAGCCATTTTAAGATTCCAGGATTTCAGGAAAGACTAGTTAGATTTTCACAACATACATTCCCCCTACCAGATAATTTTCATGAACACCAAGAATGGGTAGACATGGGAAAAGAGAGCTGTCAGCTTAGTTCTCAAACTCGGGAAAATTCATTTTCTCAACAGACAGGCTTTTCTCCCTTCATACCCTCATTAGGACTGCCACTGGGTGTGTCCTTGCCTTCTGCTGACTCTATAACACAAGGCTCACTCTCAACAGAGAGCAGCAGTAGAGTGACATCAAACCTTCAGCTGCCAGAATTGCAGGGTAGACTTTTAAAGATATCCCAACTCATCCACCCTCAGCAAGACAGTTTGAAGGTCCTTCAAGAACAGTTAGCTGCACAAAGGGAAGCCATCATTCACTCTCGACAAGAAGCTCTTGAAGAAGCCCTAAGAGAGTGGAAGGAAAGAATATTTCCAGAGCAGGTTGGTCTGTCTTCTCCCCTGAAACCACAGTGTTCACTTGCTTCATTCCCTCTTTCTGACTCTGAAAGAACACAGGAGCTGTGTTCAACTATCAGTGACGAAGCAATATCTTCCAGTCGTTTTGAGATTATGGGTTTACCTGACAGGGCATTGGGTTTATCACATACTGCTTTACCTCAGCAGGATGATCTGACTGCACAGCCAGAACACCGTCATGCACAAACAAATTTATTTTGTTCTACTGAGGAAACCCAGGAAAAGCTGGTGTTTCCCAGACCATGTAAATTTGAAGAGATGTCTGCTGAACATTTTATCCAACCTCATCATGGTGATTTAAAGACATTTCAACAGCAGTTAGATAGGCAAAGGAAAGGCATTAGATTTGGCCAGGAAATACAAGAGGAACTGCTTTTGCAAAGGTTCAATAAATTGGAGCAAAGGGTATCTTCTGAACAAATTAGCTCCTTTTCATTCTCATCCCAGAAAGCACTGCCTATTGTCAACTCTGAAGATTCCTTACAGTCTTTCCCAGACAAAAAGGATGGTACTGACATACCCAGGTACCATAGTGAATGTCTGAGCTTTTCACAGCCTCTTCTGCCTCCACAGGATAATCTGGCAGAGCAGTTGGACTTAGAAATGGTATTTCATAAAGAACTGCTTTTACACAAACAAAACAGCAAAAACAAAAGTGAATCTCCTGAGCATACCTTCCCTGCTTTGTTTCTCTCCAAGGAAATAGAGCATCCATTCATTCCACTACCTTTTGCAGAAGCTAAATCTAAAAGCATTTGTGAGTTATATTTATCTAAAAAGGAGCATGAAGCTCCTTCTAATGATGGTGTGATCCCAAGATTGCAGGACAGTCTTTTAAGTTCTTTCCAGCCTGCGTTAATTCAGCAAGATAACATGAGTCTTCAGAAGCAGCTGAATCTACAAAGAGAAGCTCTATACTCTAGGCAAAGAGCCCAAGAAGAATTGCATGTGCAGACACAGACAGCCTTGCAACAGCAAATCGAAAAACACAGAGAGACTTTGAAAGATTTCTTTAATGTCAGTCAGGTATGTTCTGAATTTTAAACTTCAGCATTACATAATAGATGTTTAAACCTGATTCCATTCCTTCTCCTTGGTTATTGGGAGTGTGGAAATTAAAACAGAAGTGTATCTACTTTAGGATAATTTTAAATACAGTCTACATGAAAGAATACCCATCTTCATATATGAGTTTTGTTGCAGTTTTGTCTGCACTGCAACAGATAAAAATTGTAAAAAAGAACTGGTTAACAGGCTTTTTCTTATACTGTGGCAGTTCTGTTCTCTAATGATGTTGTTAACATTTGTATATGAATCAGTCTGTGTTGTGTTTTTTTCCTAAATGACATTGTGGTATAGCTGGTATGGCTATAGGCTGATAGAGGCCAGACCTACTGATGGTGCTTACATTTGAGTTGTTGAGGAGACTGATGTGGTCACTCAGACACATGCATAGTTAGAATGGCTCTATTCTATATTAGGCCACTTCTCAAGTCTCTTAGTACAAGCAGAATTCTGCAGCACTTAGATGTTCAGGAAGCACTTGAGTCCATAATATAATAGTCCTAGAGTTGTGAAGGAAAGATAATGGGGGAAAGGCAAAGGGAAACATTCAGATCTAATCTGTCAATAAGGCAGAGGGAGCTAAGGGTTGGGTGTGGGGCTGAAATGTGGTTGAACCTTGTACTGGGAGTTTCATGCCTTCAGTGATGGAAGTATTTCTCAGTTTTGATCTGTCAACATAAAACACAGATTGTTTATTCTGAGCTATACCTGGGGATATAGGTTCAGGTTTTCCTGAATAGCATGTTCCACTTTGGAAACAGTTACAGGAACTTTATAGTTACAGAGCAAAAGAAAATCGTAAATTCATGGTGTTTTCCAAGTACTTTGTTGGGCCCATGAGGTGGGTGGATTACAGAGATGCAAGGAAGACTGCATTGATAGACTATTCATTCAGTTAAGGTTTGACAGATTAAAATTCACATAACCCCTTAACACACATTGTTCTTATCATCCTCATTTTTCAGGCAAGGCAGCCCTCAGGTGAGAATGACTTGAAAATGCAGAGGCTAGAACAGCTCACAGGGTGGTTTCCTCATATCCAAGGTCTTGCCTGGGGAGACTCAGATCAAGAGAGCCCTAGTGATGAGCAGCCATGTTCAGCAGATGTCCATGCTGAGTACAGTGGTGAGATAATCCCTATTCTCTTCTGACCATACCTATTTGCCTTCATCCCTGCAGCTAGCTGGCTGAAGAAAAGCTTGCTGTGTGTTCACAAAGTTTCATTTGTCCTTGACCTGATAGGTGAGAGTTTGGACAAAGAATTGAGTGGAAGAGCCTCAAAGCCACCTGTCTCCAAAGTTAAATTTGGTTTGGACTTAAACCAGCATGAGCTTAGTACTATACAGGAGGTGGAGTCACCAGCAAGTGGCAGGACTTCCATTCTAGGTAAATATTGTGATAAAATACAACATCTTACTAGTTTGCTAGCTTTCTACCTTTTTTAAAAGTATGCTAAAATGTATCTAAGAAACAGCTTTTGAATACTTATAAAAAGAAAAACTGGTTTACATAAAAATAATTAAAAATTTGGGACCAGATAAATGGCTTGCCAAGTAGAAAGCATTTTCCTCCTCGTTGTGCAGTCCTGACAGCTGAAGTTCAGTCTCTGGATCCCAAGTGGAAAAAGAGAACCAACTCCCAAAGGTTGCCCTCTGACCTCTACACACATGCCATGGCAACACTCCAACACAGTAAACACAGTAATAATAAATAAAAAATAGAATTTATGTAAGTACTTAGATTTTGACATAAAGAAATGTCATAACACACATAAACACAGTAATAATAAATAAAAAATAGAATTTATTTAAGTACTTAGTTTTTTGACATAAAGAAATGTGGCTCTTTAATTAGCTTCTCTTTCAATGAGGAACGCAGTGTAAACTGTAACTACCTTCTCTCACATATGGAGAAGGGCAGTGTGCTGTGACAAAGTCTTTGCTGTCTCACATTCTAACACAGTGCTTCCTTTTATGTCAACTGTCTAGATGTGTTTCAAGGTGGGACTCAATTCTCTTTTTCCCTTCACCTTTCTGTTCTTACTGGTCTTTTTCTACATCTTGGTCGGGGTTTTTTGTTGTTGTTTTGTTTCTAGACAGGCTCTCACTTAGTAGTCCTGACTGACCTGGGACAAGATAGGTAGACCAATCTGGCCTTGATCTTTTCCTGTATCTTTTGTAGGATAATTATGCCTAAAATTTTGGCTTTACTTGTAATTAGGACATATACATTTATTTACTATACTACTTTTATGATCAGACACCTAAAAAAAAATTCTTCCTGAAATCCTTTAATTTCTTAACATCTTTATATTTTAGAGTCACCAGATAATTTTCTTGACAGATTTACCAAAGATCTTGTTTAGGAAAAAAATCAGTTTTTTGTTGACAAAAAGGTACATAGGAGCGCAGTGTTACTTTCAGCTGTTGGGGTCGAGCCATAAAATAAGGTGCCTTTGTTTCTTACTGAAAGAATATGGTAAGGTGGGGAAATATGGGCCCTCTAAGAATCAGTGCCTTTCTGCTTATAACAGGTGAGAACGTGATATGCTTCGTGAAATGAGAGTCAGGATTTTTCACTGGCTTTGGAAGCTTTTTCCCATTCAGGAATTAAAACCATTTACCTGACTCAGAATGATTGTGAGGAAATGCTTATCACTTATTCCTGTAGTTAACTGAATCATTTTTGAGATTATAAAATGCTATTTTGTCTAAAGGGAAAATCATGTTATTCCCCTTCCTTTTTAAGAGTTGACCCCTTCCGTGGTGGACTTCTAACCCAGTAAATTACTATCTCTTCTCTCTTTGAACTCTTACAACAGTTCATTTTCCATTCCCCTTCAGTCCTGCCTGTTGTGAGGTTTTTTGGTTTTTTGTGTGTAGACAGCTGCAGTAATTCCCAGTATTATTCTTTTGGCTTTTTGAAGCAGAGCCTTGCAGTGTAGCCCATGACGGCCTGGAACGCACAGTATTGCTCCAACATGTGGTTCTCAGCTTTCCATGTGTTTGGGATTGCAGATGTGTCCCTGGCTAAACAAAGTCATTCATAAAAAATGTAATTTCCCCCAGAGAGGGGGGAAGCTGTTTGAGGGGTAAGTGAAAGCCTTGCCATGCTTTTTAATCCATAGAGCAAAGCTTGGTTGAAATTTCATATGGGTAGGGCAGTTAGAGGGCACATAGGTTAATAATTAAGTTGAAAATACTAATCTGTATTGATTTTTATTTTTCCTCTTGTAGTTCATTACTTTTGTCTTTGTTTTCTAGATAAATTTCCTTAATTCTTCTATTTCACTCTTTCTGTTTTTCTTTCCTTTTTCTTTTGCTTCTGAATTTTATTGCTTCTGAATTTATTTGATCATACATTTGCAGTTAACAGAAAATAACTTTTCTCTGGTTCCTATGATACTGTACCTTAGTAACATTCTACTTTTATTCCATACAAAATAGGAGTAACTTTAAAAGTTAAGTTTTGTTTTGGTTCTTTATTTTCTGTTGGTCTATATTTTTCCCCATCATATATTTTAGAATCTTTCTTCTAAATCCCTTCTTATTTGGGATGCTAAAAGGCTGGCTGTATTTTAAAAACTATTATCTACATAGCCATTTTACATGATAAAGTGGCCATTTATGCACTAGAGAGGTGGTTCAAAGCTTGAGTACACACTGTTCTTCCAGAGGACCCATGCTCAGTTCCCAGCACACAGCTATTTCAATTCCGGCTCCATGGGATTTAATGCCCCCTTCTGGCTTCCACAGGCACTGTACACAAGTGTATATTCATACAGGCAGGCAAAGGCAAAGCACTCAAACACGTAAAATAATATATCTAAAAATAAATGGCCATTTTACTTTGAGCAGCTGGAAATCTAATGAGTCAGGTCTTTTTCTACCCAGGAAAAGCAGATTTCTATCAAGGCCGAGACCCATTAAGGGTCTCAGTAAGCAGAGAACAAAGTTTCCTGGGGAGCCCGCTGGCGCATGATCCATTTGGTTGTCACCAACCACCTGCCCAGGATAACAGTAGAAGCCATGACGACGATGAAGCAGGTAAGAGATAATTCGGGAGTGGATGTGCTATACACAAGGACAGGTGGACAAAAAGTGGTTGTTTGGTTCTGTGTAATAGTGGTAAGTAGCCTTGGTGACAGTTGGGGATCAGCTCATTGTGGTACATCTGTGCTCTCTAGATTTACAAAATCATTAACAGTTATGAGGGTGAGGCTGGGATATGTGTAGACCAGGCTGCCCTGGAACTCACACTGGTTCTTCTGCCTCTGTCTTCCGAGTGCTAGGAAAGCTTTTTACTGTTAAACTGTCTCATTAAGTGACTGCCATTAGGAGGACTGTACAAGATTTGATGAGTTGGCGACTCTGTAGGCTACATGGTGAATACAGTAGTAGGAAAAAGACTATCTTCTGTAAACTGGCCTTGCAAGAGAGTGCTTCATGATACTTGTAAACATATGAAGAATTTTAAGTCAGTTGATTCCAGCACCCAGTGGCAACCAAAGTTCATTTCCTTGCTTTTAAGTTTATAGGTGTGAAGCTGTAATAGCGCTTGCTGGCCTGCAAAGCAGAGCTCCAGTACTACTTTATTCATTGTGACTTCTTTTTTTAAATCATTATCTTTCTAGGATTTCTTTTTATTTTAGCGTAAATTAAACACAGATAATTGATATATGAGTTGTAGCTAAAGCATAACACAGGACATGAGAGATTTCCTGTTGGAGGGTTCATAAGAGAAGGGTTGACTCCAGCATCAGTTTCTTGTGTTGCAGTTGTGTTACAGGACATTATCATTTTTAATATTTTGATATATTTTGACTCTTCCAACTTTATAATTGATATTTAAGTATTTTAAAAGAAATTTAGCCCTAGACTAGCATTGATAACTGCATTCCTTTTTTTTTTTTTTTTTTTCCTTAAGTATTAAGTATTGCCCTAGTGAGATTTATACATGATAGTAAATAAACTGGTCTTTTTTTTCTTTGGCCTGAGGTAAGGCAGTTTTAAGAAGCAAAATATAAAAACAAGGTATAGAAATACAGGGAATGCTACCCTCTGGTACTAAAATTTACTTTAATTTTCTGTACCCCTAATTTGAACCCTCCAATCCACATTTTAGTTCAAGTCAAGGAATCTGATGTGGAGAATCATGCAGTCTTGAGTCATGCTGTCTCAGAAGAAGAAAAAGAAGCGTGTACATACCTGGGTCCAATTGTGAAGCTAGATGATAAGGTCAGTGATACTTCTGTGTGTAATATATTAAGCAGTGTGGTTTTGTATTTCTGTTTAGTTTGTTAAAAACTTAACCTCTGTTCTCTGAGATCTACTGAAGTGGATCAATGATGAAAATAGCCAAATCTGAGCATCAGAAGACCTTCTGGTCTGCTTGGTGCATGATCTTCTTAGTTCTGAGAAGCAAACTACAAAACAGCTTAAAACAATTAGGGTCTGTGTATGGTGAGAGAAGGCTGTGTGCATGCGTGTGCGTGTGGGGGTGGGGTGGGTGTGTGTGCGCATGCTTGTGTGTGCTTGTGTGTGGTGTGTGCGCACAATCATTTCTGAGCAATGATGAAAAGGTTTTAGTACTGAATTTTGTCACTATGAAGGTTTCTACACTTGACCTGAGCTCAGAATTGACAACTGGCAATGTTGATGGCTTGCAGTTTTTTTGAGATGTGTCATGATCATGATCTAATATTTACCTTTGAAATTTTAGGCTGAAACACAAGAGATTTCTCAGGAGCCATTATCTTCAGTAACCTTTTCTACTGGAAGCTTCTTAAGTTATGAAATCACAGATTTAAGCCTCACAGATACAGGTATTATCAAACTTTGTGAACATATTGAAGGAGCAGCACTGGCTGAATTGCAGTGTGGTAATAGAGAAAGCATTGTTTATTCATGTGTATCCAGGGGGTATATTTGGGGAAGAAGCTGTCTCTTTTCTACACAGGAAAGCATCAATGTCAAATAGAATACCTTAAGTCTAATATTCTAAAAAATGACAAAATCCTGTGTACACTCTGGCCCACTTTCCTATTTAATGGAAATCCCTCTTAACAAATCTCAACAATATATACTGCTCTAACATATTATGTGAGGGAGTTTCAAGATGTTAAATTACTGTATTATAAATGTTAATTAAATGTTTTCATTACATTCATTTTCAGAGTCATTTTCAGAACAGACCGAGCATCAAGAAGAAGAATCTACCAGTAAACAAGAAGAGACCGATCCTTTTAGTTGTACAGTTCCTTCAACACAAGTTATTTATTATCAGCAGCGTTTCTTACGTGCTCATGAATCTCTATTGCCCACGGAGGAAGAAAGCACATTCGATCACACACATGTTCAGCAGATCATAGACAAGGATATAAATGAAGCAGATTTGATACCTGAAAAAAGAGATTTTCAGGGTAAAATTATTTTAAAAGAATATTTGTATTAACTTTTTCTAGCTTTTCACCTTTCAGCCTTTTTAGTTTTAAGTATTATTTGAGCTTCATATTTCTTATGGCATATACATTATTTATGCCACAGGTAATATTGAGGGCATTTATGAGACAGGGCATCTGGGAACACTGTAACTGAAAAGTATAAAGGGACCATGAGATATCTTAGCATTAAAGGTACTTGTTATCAACTCATCACTTCTCTGACTAATAAGTTCAGTTCCCAGAACTCACATGGTAGGAGGAGACAACTAACTTCTGGTGGTTTTCTCTGACCTACATACAAGCACTGTGGCAGGTGTACCATGGCATGTACATGTGTGCGCGCACACACACACACACACACACACACACACACACACTCATACGAATGAACATAAATTTTTAAAATATAAGCGTGAAGACCCTAAACAGAAGATTAAAGAGAACATCTCCCTTTATGCACTACAATAAGAGATCTGAGTAAGATTTAGAGTGTTTGCTCGCTGGGAAGTTTAGAGAAGTTAATTTACCTCTTTCCTTCCATAAAAGAAGTTGCAATTAAATAAAATAGTACACACAACAGCAGTATAGAGAGTCCCAGAAACAAGGAAGACAACCTTTCTCGTTTTAAATCATTGATCATGAAGTAAGCTAAGAGCTCAGAGCTCTTACAGCTAAGCTTTCCCTCATAGTCTTATATGTCCTGCTATTCCTAATTAACTTTGTTCACTAGAAGATTCCATTTCTCCTATCTGGGAATAATCATGACTTACTTTGAATGCATCTTGTGAGCATATAGAGTAACTGGAAGTAATCCTGATGTATTAAAAATTATTTTTGGGGGGATGTTATTTATTTTTATTTTATGTAGATGAGTACTCTGTCTGCATGTACACCTGTATGCCAGAAGAGGGCATGAGATCCCAGTATAGGTGGTTGTGAGCACCGAGTTGTTGCTGGAGGTTGAACTCTGGACCTCTGGAAGAGCAGAGTTCCTGCTGAGTCATCGCTCCACCCAAACCCCCACCCTAAAATGTTTAAACACTCTAAAGAATATGTTCTTAGCCCTCTTTTCCCAAGTTTCACTGCAGGTTTTTAAACTATCTTTTTTTTCCCCTCAAAAGTTCCAGCTGTGGACCTTGACTTTCCAGAATTAGAACATTTATTTCCACACTTGCACCGTCTGCTCTTTAAACCCTTAGAACCACATCTAGATTTTGACTTGTCATCATCCTCTGGAATTTCTCAAGACAACAAAGACTTTTACCAGGTACATTAAAGTTCATTGCATTGAGTATTATGAACGGGTGTTTTGTTCTTTTTTTATAGTCCAAGCTGAAACGTGGTATGTTGCTGATTCAGTCTGACTCTCCTATATGCTAGGATTATAGGTGTGCACCACCATGCGAGTTTGAGTCTTTTCTTTTGTAGAAAAGTTGGCAGCCTATTAGAATCATAGAAAAGGATGTCATTTTCTTCAGATGCTCATGCTCCAGCAAATAACCTTCCACCTGTGCTTATGCAAGCAATCCTGGTAAAGTCAGTGGTCACATATACATACACAAAGGATATGAAAGTAGGAGGGGTCCTTTTGTAAGAAAGGCTCAGGAGGAGAAAGTATAGGAATGACTAAAATTCTTCATATATGCAAGAAATTCATTAAAATATATTAACATTACATATGCATGATTAGTCACATTTTCGATTGGATCAGTTTTGGTATATTTTACTGTTTTAAATATTAGCACACTAAATGTAGATTGCTAAATTTATAAGCATAAATTTGTAATATTATCCCTTTTATAAAAACTGTAAAAATTCCCCCTAATATAAACACCACACCTCTGATCAATTACATTAGAATCTTAGACAACTAAGTGTGTACACATATACATTCTGTTTTCCAAGTTTTTCTTATGTGGAAACATACAGGGAGGTCATGTACACTTGTAATCCAAGAACTTGGAAGCAGATGAAGGCCAGCCTGCTGCAGAGATGCCTTATGTCAGTCAACCTCATTTCTAGCCATAAGAGCTGAGAACTGTTTTAGAGTGTTATTCTTTTTTTTAAATATCTTACTCATATAAAACAATCTTCCCTATTAAATACAATTCAACTAGTAAGTACGATTTCATGGGATTTTAAAAATGTTTTCTTTCAGTTATAAAGCAAAGCCCAAAATGAACTTCATAATTCTGTAGCCTGGTGGTTTTTCACATTTATTGTATGTACCACATGCAAGCATGTGCTTTCGGTATGGTGTATATGTCAAAGTCAAAGCACAGCACAGTCTTCTTAAACTATGTGATCTTAAGAGGTCAAACTGAGGCCATTGGGCTTTGTATGCCGAGTCCCAAGTCCTACAGACTGACATTTTTGATAGCTAATCTATATGGTTCCTATTTGTCAGAAAAAATATTTAGGGATATTTATCTTCATCTGAAAATCATGTTTGTAAGGCATCATGTTCATTCTCCTGCACCAAGAAGAAAAGATAAACTTTGTTCTGACAAGACAGATTCATCGGTTTAAGGCCACTGGGAAGGAGGAAAAAAAAAAAAAAAAAACCAAAACCAGACTCAATTCAAATTATAAGTAGATGATTTTATTAATACCGCTTGCTGGGCAACAGCCTTAAAGCCAAGTCAAAGCTGTGCCATACAGAGATGAGGGGATATTTTTTTTAAGGTGGAGACCAGTTACTTTCTGTGGAATTTGCAGCTGTGAGAAACTGCTTCAATCCCTTTAGCTATGTGAGGCACTGTCCCTCTACCCCTGTACAAACCTATAAAGGAACTGTCTCACTTATCAATGTTTAGGTTTACAGACACCAGAGCAGACTGAAGCAGTTAAAGCATTCTGAGCAAGGTACAGGCTACTGGCTCATTTTTCAGGAATTTAGGTCAGCAGCTACTAAGACGGGTGTCTGGTTTAGAATGGAATTTCTTTACAGTCATGGTTTTGTGATGACTACAGGTTGTAATTAAGGAATTTAGTTGATTAGCAATATAGAATCAGTCTCAGCCCTTTTTTTTTTTCTTACTGTTCTCGACAGAGCTCAGAATCTTCATCTGAAAATCATGTTTTTAAGGCATCATCCACAAGCACAGTTGATTTCACAGCACTGAGGAGCTTGCCTTCGGACTCAAGACTGAACCAGCAACTCGAGGCTAACCTTGCTCAGGGTCTTGCTGCTGAAGGTATGTGTGACTAAGTTAGAGCTAAATAAACTTGAAGATCCTCCCCCATTTCTTTGGCATAGTTTCATCACCCCTTCATCTGTTCCCTTTCTGGTTCTGTTCCCTTAAATAATATAATCCTTTCTTCCAGAACTTTGTATGTACACACATGTACATGTCCACATTCTATTTTTGTTATTCAGAACACTCATGAGAATGCGCTTAGGGTCCAATAACCATGTAATTTATTAGATACATATAGTATGTGATTTTTCAAATCACTGACTGTTGGAATTTATTGTGTTTGCACACAGCTACTTTTCCTTCTAAAAGTTTGCAGTTTAAAATGTGACTCTATCCAGGGCTTTGCTAACTTTGTGAAATCATTTTTAATGCAGGGTCTGAACAGTCTTTTCAACAGCTTCTACCAGAATTCTCACAGGAAAGCCAACATGATGATCTACCGAGTATTCATAGCATTGAAGCAAGAGGTACTTCCCAAAGCATGGAAAGCCAGAACTTTTTTGAGCAGACTGAAATAGTAAACAATAAGAAAAGAAGTGTCCATACCCCATCTTTGACAGAGAATTTGACTCCAGCCTGCAGTCCATCTAATGATGCTACTCTATTTCATCAGTCACATATGCAGCACAGCACACCATGCGGTTCCATCTCTAGTGAGTGCTCAGTAAAGCAACTAGAAACCAAAGAAATGCTGGGCTTTGAAGAACTGTCAAGGACAGTTGCAATGTCACAAAGCCAAAGACCCATTGAAGATGAAAATGTACAAGACTCTAAGTTGTATATAGGTACAGTGGAGATGGAAACTTCAACTCATGGACCTAATTCATTAAGCATTCAAAATGAAAAGCCCATTCAGAATGTAATTAAAACTGAAACTACAAAAGCTGTAACAAATATGTCTCAGCTGGCACAAGCAGAGCACATCACAAACTCAGAGTCTCATTCCTTTCGGATCCCTATTCCAGTCTGGGTAAGGACTGTTTTATAGAGCAGCACTTAACATTTCCTAGAAAGTGTAGCTCAGCGTTGTTCCAATGCTATAGCCAACCAGATGTGGTTTTCCCCAATACATTCTGTGGCTGAAGGAATGGCATACACTCCTTAATCCCTTGTGGGTCTCAGATCAAAGCCAGGCTGGTCTCAGGCACGGTCTCTTGAGACCTTGCCAGCCAGGGGAAACCCAGCAGTCACCACACCCACACACCTGTTTCATTAAGGCCTTGCTACTTGAACATTATGTTCACTTTGAATTGCTGCACAGGAAACAGAATCTGGCTATGGTATAATGGAAGAACCAGATCTCACTCTAGTAAGCACCAGTGACATCAGTGTTGCTGAAACAGATCTTGCAAACCTGACACTTGAAGAAAAAGATAATGAAGCACAAAGCTGTCCCCAGGTAAATGCCTGTGACCGGAAATGGGATATGCAACTAAACTGGCAGCGGGAGGGAAAGTAAGATTTGGTTTAGGAAAACAAGACTTTCTTGTAATTAGGCAGGTGGATTTCTGCCTCTACTTTCATCGGAAACTTCTATTAGAGATGTATTAGAGCCTTGTGTGGATCAGCCCACAGTGGCGCCTTCAGGTAAGCAAGCCCCTTTATTATCAGTCTCTACCTAGACAGCCAGCAATATTTGGACATCTATGAATAATCTTTCTCTAAAATTTACAGCCATATCAAGTAGCTCACAAGACTCCTTTATGAAAGAAAGGACATCTATGGAGCAATCCTACCAGAGACAGATGCGAAATAAAGGTAAATTCCCTCAAACCAAAATATCTTAAGAGAACCTATTTATAGGTATGTTTAGCAGTAGAGATCCAAAAGTCATGACATAAAGAACCTGTTATTTATTGCTCAGGTTCATTCTTAAGCCGCCTGAAAGGTGTGAATAAAGTTAGAGCATCTCTTCCTGAAGAGAGGAAAGCTAGACAAGCCCTCATAAACCAGAAGGCACTAAGGTATGGCTTTTGTTGTTCATTTGCTTTATTTTGCCACACATGCCCACACTTACTTTCATGTATTTCTAACAGATTATACAGGCAGTTTGCTGAAGTAAAACAGCAAAGAGAAGAAAAGGCAAAGCAAGAGGTCGGTGACCAAAGTACAGCAAGGGCAAAAGAATTTCATAAGGTGAGTAGGAGCCAATGTTTCACTAACAAAGACACAAACTAAAACAAAACCTGAATTTAATCTTCATTCCTTCTGCAGGAAACACTACAGAAACTTCGAGCCAAATACACATGCTGACTTCTCACAAACTGTGTAAAGGGTTTTCTTTTAGTTTATTTAATGTACATAAAGCTAGATATATTTATATGTAAAACCAATAAATTTTTGTTTATAGATGATTCTTCTGCTGTCCATCCAGGTCATTATGTTTTTTAGGGCTGAGAAGAAGCCATAAATTAAGTCTTGAAACTTGTGATTCAGGGCGATGCATGTATCTTCATAGAAAAACACAGCACTATCAAAGTGCCTGTTTTGCTCTGTGAAGAACATCAATCTTTGGTCACAGCGTTAAGAGCTTTTGGTCTTAAAGCCCAACAAGCCCTCTTTGAAATGACCTTTACCACCTGCCTCCCGTATACCTACCTACCTCAAAGATGGTCCATGTATACCTATCCAAAGATGGTCCAGTGTGCCCTGCATGAGAAGAACATGGGCATAATCAGCTGAGCAACCAACTACTTACCATTAGTTACTTGGAAAAGATTTAAAGTGTCCCCAACAGGTTAACTGCTAGCCAAGTAGCACACAGAAAAAAAACCTAATGGGATTTTTTTTATGGTCATGTCCACAGCAAATGAGAAACTGCATTCTAAAAGCCTTGGTAATGACCATTACTTTGTAACATGATTAAAATGACTATTACTTGCCTTTATTCTTTTATCCTTGGCTTAACTTCAAAGTTCTCAACCTGTGGGAAAGTTTTTCAAATTCATATGATAAAATAATTACAAAAATTTCTACATGAGGGCATATTAATAACCACAGAACCAGATGGGCTACATGAAGCCAAGATTGTCTTGTAAGCCCAAGAGGATTCCCATGGTTAAAGGAGTCCCCAGGCCTGCATACATGGGATCTGTAGAGACCTACCCAGTGTAGATGTTCAGAAAGGCTACTTTCATTCAGCCCACTCAGAGCAGTTGAACATTTTGCCCATCATCACAACATCTGTCACTGGTATCATTGTCAACCCTGGTAGTTGACTTCACCTAACTTATAATGCTGTTCTTCTAAAGTTAGCATCTTACCGGAAGATTTCTGATGATGTCTTCAATTTAGAAACCTAAAAGACTGATAATAGAAAGTATTGTGAGATGAATTAACTAACATCTACACATTCAATAGTGTTACAGGTCTCATTGTCACCACTGCAACTTATCTACTGTGATGGAAGCATGACCTGTGTCAATTTAGCCACAATGACCAATTCTGGACACTGACCAACAGTGCCCATTCTTATGTACAATGAGGCTCAGTAAAGGTTCCCAAGTCTTTTATACACTAGGCATCTACTCAAGTTAGAAGCAACAGAAACAACGCCTTACCATTTTAACGTAGGCTTCACTAGTTGACACCCTAGGAAGAAAAGGAGTGGTTTGTTCAGCAGGTAACACTTGCCACCAAGCTTTAAAGCCAGTTATTCACCAGAAACCATAGAGACCCAACTTACATACTGCTTTGACAGCCACAAATAATATATATAATAAACTGTATCATTAGAAATACCAGGTTTAACATGCACAAAGCCAAGAAACCAACGATGCCAGATAGTGAGTTTCTATCGCACTGTCTTTTGAACACCCAGAAGGAAAGAACTCCTGAGTGCAGATACCATGCAGTGCAATTCCTAATCCTGAATTACAACAAACAGGAGACCTACTCAAATAAAAGATACTCTTCTTGGGGGATACCTTCCCTGATCACTCCTAATGATATATCTCTAACTGAAGCCTGAGTTTCCAGATTTGGCTATCATATATATCTGCCTGGCTGCTAGGGTTTTGATTTATAGTACTTATCCACTGAGCCATTTACACAGTCAAGTTTCCCCATTTCCAGGCTGATCTCAAACTTGGATCTTCCCATCTCAGAATTCCAACTCCTAAGATTACAAGTGTGGGACAAGCACACTAGTACATGGTGAATCTTTAAAAAAAGAACTACTGAATGAACATTTCTAACCACTTTGATCTGCCATTTGAATGATGTATAAGCACAAATTAGAAAACCTTTTTTCTAGTCTGTACAGACAAAAGAAATACTTTTGCTGAAATTTAGATCTGGAGCTTGAGACACTGGACTTAGATGTTTAATTTCTTAAACTAAAAAAACAGAAATTTAGTTTTACTTACCAACATCTCTGAAGTCTGATCATATTCATTCCTAAAGAACAGTAAAAGACTTTAAAAAGTATGACAGAATTTCCTGTTATAAAAAACTATACTCCTGTCCAACTTAATAGCTATAGCCAGTTCTGTCAGAATTAAGTTTTAGTTCATGTCTGTATCATTCAGCAGTTGAACAGTTTAATTCATCATCTGAACTGCAACTCTATTTTCCCAAGATGACATACAGTACCATCAAAACTCACCTAACACTTGGAATACGGATCTTTATGAAGGATATGCACTGCCTGAAGGGGAAAAAAAAAATCCCAAGTGATATACATTAGTGTTCCACACTTTGTTACTTGTTTTGTATGCAGTTCCTTCCCACAGATCTAATAAACAGTCCCGTGAGTCAAGGAAACCACAAGTTACTATATGAGGCGTTTCCAACGATGTGTGGCTACTAGGGAAGCCCCATCGGGATAGACCTCAAAATAAGAACAACTATAGCCCTGCTCTCCAGCCAACCTCTGTATCTACAAACAGGCGATTAAGGAAATCACCTGAGAACAGTAGGCTAGCACAGTAAGCTCAAGGTTAAGATTCTTACAGTGCCGGGTTCACAAATACTTATTTTACCACATGGAAAAGTTTCTTTAACAAGCTGTTTTTAGCATTATATATAAGAGAGGCTAAAAAGGTGCAATCAGACTTTAGGAACAGTATTATTGTAGTTACCTAATACTTCTAAAACTACCATTGTATGAGAAAGTTTAAGATCCTAACTTATGTATATGACCTTACAGCCTTCACTGTTTATTCTTGCATTATTCTGCTAAACCTACCTATCTTGGTTCAAATTGACAATATGCTACTTACAACACTGAAACAAGCATCCCTTCGTGGGTGTCTTCCAATTCTGACTTCATAATCAAGACAAACCTTGAAAGAGAGAATATTCATCTAACATACCTTTTTTTCTTTATGGAGACAGGGTTTCTGAGTAGCCTTGGCTGACCTAGACTCACTTTGTATACCAGGCTCGCCTCAAATTCAAGAGATCCACCTGCCTTGTATACCACTATGCCTATCTTAAGACATCTTTATAAAGTGTGTGTGTATACACACACACACACACACACACACACACACACACACACATACATTTCTAGCATTTTGCTAGAAATCAACCTCATCAATAGAATACCTGTGCTCTTTTATATTCCTTCTTGAATGTATCAAAACTCATACTGAACAATGAGTTCTGGGTTGCAAAAGAGGATTTAATTTTGCACCTGTCCAAGCTGCCTTTGTTCACTAGCTGAACAAAAACACACACAAGTGCTGCCAAAGGAATGCATCCATATCTGACACGAAACAGTTTACAATTGTGACCACTGTATGAACAGTAGCAACATTCATAGTATCTTAGGGGAAGACAGGTCACTCAAGATCTACACAACCTAGCCGTATGCTGGCACACAGGTAGTAGCATCAAGAAGCTGTGTGTGGGTATGTGAAAAGCTAGGATTAAGAGTGCTCTTGCAGGATTGTGGTTCAGTTCCCATCACTCCCACAATGGCTGGCTAATAACCATTTTATAAGTCTAGTTCCAAGGGCTTTAATGTTTTCTGACCTTGGGTACCAGGATGCATAGTACACACACACAGCCAAAAATAGACACAATTCTTTCCTAAAAATGTTTGGACCAAGGTTCCTGAAATTAGAATCAAAATCACATTTGCTTTAAATGTTATAGTAATCCCTATAGGGTCTTTTACTCTGAAATCAAGCACTGAAAAGAAAGTACTTCATAAAATTTTATTAGCTTTGCCCAGCAATGTTATCCTCTTCCCCAGATTGGTTAAGATGATTTTATTCTTCTTCATCTAGCTGGTGTACACAATCACCTGTGTTCTTTACCTTCTTTGGTATTCACATGTTTGTCTTCCAGCCTGTTCTGTGCTGTGTGGTATCTTTGGCCTTGGATTTTTTAGAGAATCCAAATTCTTTCTTACTCTTCTCTTGTTCTAAATTTCTCTTCCTTGGGAATTCTGAGCTTATTATGAAGCAGCTATCTTCCTGCATTTAATAGAAACATTAGTTAGTAACTAAACTCACCACTGACAGGTGGGTGAATGCTACATCTACTCCTCAGTACACCATTTTGTCATTTGACAGCCTATATAGAGGGCACACCAGACTAGCTAAATGTATTTTCCTGGGAGCTGGAGAGATGGCTCAGTGGTGAAGTACACTGGCTTCTCTTCCTTCCAGGACTAAGATTCAGTTTTAAGGACACAACATGTGTGTAACTCCAGGTCCAAATGATCTACACTCTCTTCCCATGCTAGCAGGTTAATCTATTCAATTGTGGTCAAGAGTTAATTATCTCTCATAAAATGGAGACAAAAGACTGCCTTTTAGCCATAAGTGTACCCATACCTGTATGCAGGATCACAACATTCTACACACCAAAGCTAAGATTATATAACCCAAGCAATATGCAATGTCATAATGTAAACACACAGACAAGGCTTTGAACCAACAGTGGGGCTAAGAGAAATAATCACAAAAAGAAAAGCCTCAATAATCAAATACCCTAAACATAGTGTGGGACTGGGAAGAGACAAGGGAAGGGGCTACAGCTGGGATACAAAATGAATAAACTATGAATGAAAAATAAAATTAAAAAAAAAAAAACTCTAAACATAGCATTCATTTTCCCTTTCCCACATTAAGCTTTTTTGAAGTTTAAATGGAATTTAAACACAAAATACAACTTCTACCATTTTATAACTCGAATAAAAATCAGCTACTTACAACCAATTTGATATCACTTTCAGACTCAGGATTCGTTGCCTCATCTTCTGTTCTGTAACATTAAATAAAATGTGTCACAAGGCAGTAGTTACTACTGAAACCTAGTCAAAGGAAAACATCCTCCCAAAGCTGTCCTGTACATGTGCATATGCCTCAGATTAAACAAACAATCCTAAATGAGCTTATGATTAAACAATCCTAAATGAAGTTATGATTACTATTTAAAATTTAATAGGATGCACATTTTATAGGTGGCATATACCTTTAATTTCAGCACCTGGGAGTAGAGGCTGGTAAATCAGACCCAATAAAGCTACACAGCAGTGAGACAGTCTTAAAATAGTTAAATTTGGAGTAAGATATTTGAATAACCCTTCAAGTTCCAACTTACAATGACTCTTCAATAGGAGAAAGAGGACCATCATCATCCATGTACTTGTGTCTACGGCTGTCAAGGTCTTCCTTTTCTAAATCCTCCCCAGCATGCATCTGCTTCAAGCATTCTGTAAGGTGGTGCTCATACTTGAGTTTTTCAATGTGGTGAAAAAATCCTCTTGCAACAGCTTGCTGCAAGGTAGAACATACAATTCCTTAAATATTAAAACATGTATTCATTAGAAACAAGCTTGAAACTGTGCCAAGGGCTTTGTTCTTGGGTACTGTCTTCACTATCCAAGTTTGGAATTACAGTAGAATCACCACATACACAGCATTTACATTGTTTGTTTTTTTTTTTTCAAATCTGGTCCCCTGGAAACCACTAGAGGGCACTGCTAGGGTTACATGATTGGAAGCAACCATGTAGGTAGGGTACTAAGAATTTAACTTGGGTTTTCTGGAAATACTCTTAGCTGTATCTGTACAACCCTTATCCTAGTTAAGCTTTAGCTGCCAACGAGACAGCTCAAAATCACTTCACATGAGATCTCAACTGAGGTACTGCTTAGTTTTGTACAGTGATTGCACAGGTGGTACAATTCCTTCAGCAATAGCTCCTGAACTACAATGCACATGACCAGCTATCAAGCACCATCCTTCATGGTCCTATTCTCCATCCCTTTCTGGGTAGATACTTCTGAAATTAGGTATTAAGAAATGACATCATAGGCCAGGCATGATGACATATGCCTTTAATCCCAGCACTGAAGGTGCCAGAGGCAGGTGGATTTCTGTGAGTTCAAGGCCAGCCTTGCCTACAAAATTCTAGGACAGTCAAGAGTTGTTACACCAGGAATGAGGGGAGGGGAGGGGGAATGATACTACACTTGCTGACCCTGAAATGACAAGTTTGAAGGCAACTAAGAAAGTTGGGTGTGGTGTACTTCAGTGTAGTGACATTGAAGGGATTCTGAATATTAAGAAATGATTGCAATACCATTCTGTAAATCTGTACTTCCACTAACAGCATGCCTGTGCAGATTTCAGACACTACAGTGATATTTATCCTGACCTTACATGGTAGTCATCAAAACTTCCATGTATCCCTCAGACAATGGCCAACAAACCATTCTGTTTTCCCATATTCACCTTCATAAAAACAGCTCACCTCATATGTTAAAATTTTCTTCCAAGGTAAAGCTTTTCTTCCATTTTCAGATTCTAAGAATGGGAACATAGCTCCTTTGTCTTTAATCTGTTTCACATCTATCTGTGACCTTCTAATGTTTCTTCTAATGCTTCCAGGTGGTCTTCCTCTTGGTCTTAATTTGGGCTTATATTTTCTTTTTCTCTTTTTCCGTTTCTTGTTCTTAAATCTTTCAAAAATAGCCCTTAAAGTCAAAGGCCTTGGTTCAAAAGACGAGTCACTTGATGAATCAGTTTCAACACTTGTAGGTGCAGTAACACATTTTACAGTGGAGTTTCTTTGCTTTTGTGTAGATGGAGGAACACACTGTGTTTTAAATAAGCTGCTATCAGATGAGTCATCACTAAAATAAAAATTAGACTGTATTACTGAATTATCACTAGACATAATCCCCACCCGAGTTTCAGAACTCTAACACCATCTACTAACCTGAGAGGACCAGAAAGACTATGTGTAGGCAATGCACTCATGAAAAGATGCTAAAAATTCAACGTACATTTCTCCCAAAGCCAATTCCTTAAAATCTTAACAAATATTTTAAAACAGACTCAGTACCCGGTAACCACTGTGTCCTTGTCTTATCTAAAACAAAGCTTGTTAAAATGTATCTCCCAAAAAAAGCTCCACTTAACTACTAAAGCTTCCACTATTAGACAAAAATGGGCCAATGTAATTAATCAGAAAAATATCTCCAAAAAGTTTATCTAAAAGAAAACTATAGAATATATTCCACTTTTACATTTTCAAGCTCAGAGTCAACTGCAGTTAAGTTTTTAAAACTGTATTAGTCAAGCCTGAAAGATAAATGGTAATCCAGTTTATCTATTTCCTTTTCTAACAAGCATTACAACAACTTCCCATCATTGAAACATACTGGGTCCCAGGGTGTTACGAACATGCCTTCAATCCAGCTCTTGAGTTGAAGCCAGCCATGGCTACCTATCGAGATGCTGTCTCATGATATACTGAACATTTTGAAAGAAACACATGGACCCAAAAGCTCCCTTACCTTTGGTTTCGAATATCCTCAGCTCTATCAGATGTTATGGAGTCATCAGAACTCACTTCTGATTGAGCCATCACTTTGCCTTCCCCAGTTTTCTGCAATTACAAATTTTAGTCATGTACTGTGGACAGTACACTTCAGATCTGCTTTTAAAAACTTTCAACCCTCTGGGTTCGCCCTTCTGTTAACTCCAGCTGCATCAGATGGTGGGCTCCTTTTGACTACCTGGGTACTTTCATGTATGTACTTTACATACATTCACACAGTATTTCCCCACCTACAAGTGAAGGAAACCACATACCGATGCGCCCTGCTTGCGAAATGCACACCAAGGAGCACCTCTTGGCTTTAACCACCAACACCAGCCACACAGTAATATAGCATTAATTCCAATGTTCGCTGCCACCTTAGCACTAGGAGAGTTGAACAAGAGTATCAGTTTGGGCAGATGGACTATACAGTGTCTCAAAGATAAATTACAACTGCTCAAGATAGCCACAAGCCTGTAATAGTGTAGAGTCCCAACAGTGTACAAGAACGGTTACGATAGGGCTGGAGAGATGGCTTAGCAGTTAAAGAGTACTGGTGGCCCTCCACTGGACTTAAATTAGATTCCTAGTACCCACATGGCAATTTAAAAATCCTGTAACTAATCAGAACCTTCAAGGGTAAGAAAACAGGTGACCAAGACCTTAAGCTGGCAAATACCCACTACACATGAATTACTTTTACATTAACTCATCAAAATTAAAATTTCACATGACTGCACCGACGGTAACTCTAGATAACTGCAAGCTACACTGTAGAAACCTATCTTTCAAACTCTGAAGGTGCACGTTTTGGAAACCACGTGGTGAGTGGCTATCGGCTCAGAAAAAGTACGTAGGGCGAGCCTTTAAAGCACATTAAGAGATGTGGGCAGCCAGCACATGGCCCCTTACACACTAAGAAAGCCCTCCTCCCCAGATACACCTTGTCGCCTCCCAACAGCGTCAGGAAGCCCTTCGCGGCCTGCGGGGGCCCGAAGCCTAGCCCGCTCCGCTGCTCAACCAACAACAGCGCCGTTTCCGCTCAGACAGCCCAAGGCGCCCCGGCCCGTGGTGACCGTGACCCCTGTGTCCCCCATGGGGTCAGCCGCGGTAGAGAGACCGCCTTCGCACAGGAACAACCGCTTACCTCCTTCACCGCGCCAAAAAGAACGCACTGAGCCCAGGCGCCTGCCTTAGACAAGGCCGAAATCTCGCGCGAGCTCTTCGCGGCGGGTGACTTCAGGAGCGAATGCCAGTTGACCCGCCCCCAAGGGGCACGGCTACGTGCGTGGGCGTGGCTCCGAGGGCCGACTCGGTGGAGGGCGGGTCTCTAGCAGGGGCGGTACCCAGCTCGTCCCTAGGCCTGGAGCAAGCAGAAGAGAAGGAAAGGCAGGAGACTGAAGCTGTGCTCCTGAGTGGGAAGAACCCACGCACGCGTCAGGTGAGCGTCATTTGTTGTGGGGGCTGAGCCCGCAGTGGGCTTAAGCATGATCAGTCCTAGGGTCTGCAGGGTCTGTCTGAACACGTTCTTCCTTTTGTCTGCTGAAAGGGCCGTTACTTCACTACTGATCCAACTTGAGATAAGGGTGCATTCTGGCATTACAGATCTGCTTTTGAGTTAGTTATTGGTGCTGTTGTTTGACAACAACAACAAAATTAAGCAACAACAAAAAATTATGGATATATTTTAATCAGGTCTCTCTATGTAGCCCTGACTGCCCTAGAACTTAATATGTAAACCAGGCTGACCTCCAACTCACAGAGAACATCCTGCCTCTGCACCCCGCTGCCCCTACACCCCTCTGCCTCTAGTGCTGGAACTAAACATGGGCACCACCAAGCAGTTTCTCCCACTGCACTTATCTCCTGTTTGGTCAACCTCTCTCTACCCGAGTTTCTGAACCTTTGACACCTACCACTTAAATCAGGAAAGTAAATATTGCCTTTATCTGGCTAGAGGCTGGGCTGGAGCCACTGTGACTGTATGTGGAAACCATTCCCTTTTGGTCCGAACGTCAACTTCACCTTCCACACACATGTGTTCTCCCCTGTTGTCAGCCTGCCTGAACGTCTACATTTCTAAACCAGTTAGTCAGGCTGAAGCCTGCCATGGTTAGACTTTGTCTCTATTTTGATAGGGACTTGAAACAAACGGATATATATACATTTTATTTATTTATTTGTGAGACAGGGTTTCTCTGCGTAGCCTTGGCTGTCCTGGACTCTTTGTAGACCAGTTGGCCTCAAACTCACAGAGATGTACCCGCCTCTGCCTCGAGTAATACCCAAGTGCTGGGATTACAGACCTCCGCCACCTTGTCTGGTTTGACTGATCTTCTTTTACGAAAATAAGTTACCGGACCCAGGTGCCTGTAATTCCAGCACCCTGGAAGGTAGAGGTAGGTGTATCTCTGTGAGTTCAAGGCCAGCCTGGTCTACAGAGTGACCAGGACAGCCAAAGCTACACAGAGAAATCCTGTCTTGAAAAACCAAAAAAATAAAAAAGTAAGGAGTTGTGGCATGTGCCTTTAATTCTAGCACTAATGGGAGGCAGAGGCAGGCGGATCTCTTATCTACAGATCAAGTTCCAGGACAGCCAAGACTATACAGATAGACGCTGCTGTCTCAAAAAAAAAAAAAAAAAAGTATGTGTTTTAATCTAATTTGAATTCCTATTCCTACTATAAGCATAATTTAAAGTGCTTTCATTTTCCTCAGCATATGCTTAATTATACTAAGGCCAGGCATGGTGGTACATAGATAGAATCCCAGAACTCAAAAGGTTTAAACAGGAGGAGCACAGTTCCAGACTTGCCTGGGTCATATAGGGAACCTTGTCTCAAAAAAAAAAAAAAAAAAAAAAAAAACGAAGAAAGAAAAGAAATAGAAGTAGCAATTGTTTAATATCCTGTCCATTGTGCAGATTTTGACATGTTCATATATTAGCAAGTATCACTGGCTGCCTGATAGAGGATGTGATAAACTGTTAACATGGGGCAACTGGGTAGAGAGCGTCTGAGATCTATTTGTATATGATATACTAATCTTAAACTATTTCAAAAGAAAATTAAGGTGTTTTAGTTCTAAACAGTTAAAGACCACTCAATTGATAAGTATGTTTAGAGTAATTCAAGCATGATTATAGCAGCTGGGGCCTATTTTCAATAATTACTTATATTTCATTTGCATACAAGAGTATATTTGTTAAATAACTAAAGGACAGTAGAAACAAATGTCTACTAAAATACTAAAGTAAGTGTCACTTATTTAAGCTACCTTGGAGGCTGAGGCAGGAAGATGGCTTGTGAGGACAATGTAGGGATCCTATGTCTTAAAGAAAAAGTGTAAATGCTAAATATGAGCAATGGTATGTTCATGGAGAATATTATGTTCTGAAAGTATGGTCAAAAATAGAAATCTCAGGCCAGAGATGGCTTCGGAGTTATAAGCACTGCCCCAAGCCTGATAAGTGGAGTTTGATCCCTGGAGCCCACACAGTAGAGGGAGAGAACTCACTCCTGCAAGTTGTCCTCTGGCTACCACACATGGGTTGTGGCACACACACACACAACATACATACATTATTTTTTAGTGAAACAATAAAAAAAAATCCTGTGCCCAAGAGACATATGAACCTGGAGAAATGGCTCAGCAGTTAAAATCACCTACTGCTTTCCAGCAGGACTGAGTTCCAGGCCCAGCACCCACATCAGAGCTTCCTTCTAAGCCAGGTATGATTGCACTTCACTGGAGACAGAGGCAGGAGGAGCTCTGTGAGTTGCAGGACTTCTGTTATGTACACAGGTTGTGGATACCCTGCCTAAAGATAAAAACAAATCAAAAGAAACCCACAAGCAAACTGAAGAAGCCACTTTTCCCTTGCTGTGGGCACATTTAGAGCCAACCATTCTGATTAAGGAGATGGCCCATTAATGATACTGAGTGCTACTCCCATGGTGCTCTATGAGGCAGAAATGCCTTTAGTGATTTGACTGTCCTATGCTGTTATTGGCCCTGCCTGTCATCTCCCTGCCCACTTCCTTTTCTTTCCCTGAATTCTCTCTAGTCATTTCACTTTGCATGCTTATTAGCCTCATCTCCTGAACAGGGGAGGTAAGTGTCATCTTTGCATGTGTGTGCCTGTTTTCTGTAAAGTGTTTTTGCCGTGTGTTTTTGGAAATATAAGATTATAATTGGTTAGGTAACCAGATTAATTGAATGTTAGAAGTACTTACCAAGTAAGTATACTTATTTGTAAATTAAAGTAAAAAAAAAAAATGAGTTTTAGAATCTAATCACTCCATAGGTTTCCATTTCAATTTGTTAATGAAATTTTCTCTTACTAAAATGATAGACAAAAGGAATAATTCAAATGTAAAAAATGAAATTTGGCAACATCTTATAATTTTTTAGCTTCAGGGGAAAAAAATAAAACAAATCCTGTTATCCTGTTTTTCTATTATAATGCCACCTTTTGATATTTTGCTGTCATTGAGATCTACTTTTAGAATTAAATTTGTTTTCCATTTAAAAATAATAATAAGGGTAGTCAGGCCAACAAGATAGCTCAGTGGGTGAAGGTATTTACCATTAAGCCTGACTTTCTGAGTTAAGTCCCCAGCATCTACATGGCAGAAGAGGGAACCAACTCCTACATCCTGTGACTTCTACAGGTATGCTATGGCATATATGCATAGACACACACAAATAAATAATTGTAATATTTAAAAAATTTAATAAGTCTAAGACAATTAACTATTAGCTTAAATGTCAAATACAGCATAGTAATCAAGTGATCTAGCAGAGGCACCTTATGTAATACATGTTTTCTATAAAACAGTAGAGACTCCTGTGGATGGCACAGACGTATACACATGCACACATATATAAAACCACTTATTTTTAACTCTTTGTACACATCTTAGGTTTGGAGACCATATTCTGAGGCCCTCTGTTCGGAAAGCTTAGGTTCAAGCTGAGTATAGGGAGCATAGCACTCAGTGGGAAAGTGCTTTCCTGGCATACCTGAGGCCCGGTTCAATCCCAGGACTGAATAAATAGAAATGAAAGGGGAAAAATTATAAAGAACAGATTCATAGAACAGTATTGGGCTGGCATATGGCTGAGGCCCTTGGTTCTACATACAGCTCTGCCAGGAAGGAAGAAGGGAGAGGAGGGAGGGAAGGAAGAAAATGGAAAAATCGATCAAAAGGAAGATGAGGGAAAGAACAGTAGGAGAGAGTCTCTCCAGCTCCTGCTCACATGGAATGCACGTGAGTTTGTTTGGCTCCGAGTGAAGCCTCCATGCACTTTGCCCTTTTTATGTAAGTGAACTCTGAGGCTATGGAACCTAGATAGCCTTTGCCTTCATCAAGTAACTGAACTCTTTCATTTCCAGAACCAGGACTGCTTGTGCCCGTGCCCGTGCCCGTGAGCTCTTGTAGTAGTTGCCCAGCTGCTGTTGGGCATCCTTGGCGATAAGAAAGAGAATGGCTTGTGTTGAGTTTTCTTTTTATGTGCCAAATCTGGAGGAACTTGCTGAAGGTAAAAAGGATGGTAGTTTTGGGTTGTTGGTTTTTGGTGGGGTTTTTTGTTTGTTTGTTTGTTGGTTTGTTTGTTTTCTTTTTTGAGACAGAGTTTCCCTGTGTAGACCAGGCTGGCTGCGAACTGCGAACTCACAGAGATCCTTCTGCCTCTGCCTCCTGAGTGTTGGGATTAAAATCATGTGCCACCATGCCTGGCTAGCCTTGGATATTTAAGGACTGTTCCAGGAAACAAAACCAAAAGTTCCCTGAAGTACATATATGACTAATTACCTGTTTAAACGTTATTGAAATAGCACTTTTTATAAAATTCCCATTTCAGTGTCTGTTTAGTATTATTTTTATTTTTAAAAAATCCAAAATTCTGTGTCTCAAAAAAAAAAAAGAAAAAAACCCCAAACTTTTATAAGTTTTTAGGCTTCGTTATTTATAAACATTTACCATTATTATCCCATCTTGATCATAACAAACTAGAAGTTGTTTAATTTCAAGGTCCTTAGCAACACATGAAACTGTGTATAATACCATCTTAAAAGCCAGTCCTTTCTACAAAGTGACACATATGCATGGAGTTTGACTATCTTTGAAAGACAATGATAAATTCAAAATTCATTTTATTCCCAGCACTACTGCTGGTTCCTTCTCTGCTCATTCTCCCAGAAGTAACCATCATATTATTTCTAGTAATCTTGTTGCTACCACTTCATGCAGTGAAAACTAGCAGAGGAACGCGGAGAGTTGTGCAGTACCAACAATAATGTATTCTGATACACTTTAAATAGTTTCCTGGGGCTGGAGAGGCGGGGCAGTGGTTAAGAGTACTGGCTGACTCAGATGACCCAGAACACACGTGGTGGCTCACAGTTGTCTGTAATTGTTAGTTCAAGGGGATTCAGTTCCCTCTTCTGTCCTCTTTCAGCACCAGATGCACACGTGGTGCACAGACATTCATGTGAGCATAACACTCAGAGACATTAAAAATAAATAAATAAATAAAACAAAATATTTAGTCTACTATTGAGTACTGATCATAGTCCCAAATATACTTTGCCTCCTGATTCACAGGCTGTCAATTCGCTTATGTAAATTTCTGTGTAGATTTTTTTTTCTTTAGTTTTTTTGAGACAGGGTTTCTGCGTGTAGCCCTGGCTGTCCTGGACTCTGTAGACCAGGCTGGCCTTGAACTCAGAGATCTACCTGTCTCTGCATCCTGAGTGCTGGGATCAAAGGTGTGTGTTACCATGCCTGGCTTGTTTGCTTGCTTGCTTGCTTGCTTTCTTTCTTTCTTCCCTCTTTCTCTCTTTCTTCCTTTCTTTTACTTGTTCAAACAAGAATTTAAGGAAGTTCTAAACTAGAGAAGGAGAAAGAAGAGGCTGAATCAAACATGTACTTGCTCTTTGCTTTTTTTTTTTTTTCTTCTTATTTGATCCTTAGATATATATTCCTCATGGGGCGGATGCTCAGTGACTAAAGGTACTTACAGCACAAGCACAACAACCTGAGTCCCATCCCTGGAACCAACATAGAACTAGCTCCCACCAGCTGCCTACACACACACACACACACACACACACACACACACGGACTGTAGATAAATGAAATGCATATATGTCTATTAATGACTGTAGCAGTGTCCTTTCCTATCTGTGGAAAAGCTTGTTCTTGTTGGCAAAGCTGTCACCCACTTACTTGGTATCAGATTCTCACTTTCACAGGTAACATTCTTCACTGATAAGGAGCTGTGGAGGCCAGGTTGTCGGACATACTTTTCTGAATTATTACTGAAGTGTCTCTTGAACAGAGTCAGAAAGATCTTTATGAGTTTGAGGCCAGCCTGGTCTATGTAGTGAGTTCCAGGACAGCCAGGGCTACATAGTAACATCCCTGTCTCAAACAGCCAAATAAAATAAAGTTCTAGAAAAAGAAAGCTCTGGAATGTTAAGACACTCCGCTTGTCTATGTTTGTATTACAGCATGATACACCTACAGTAAAGCATAGCATTTGCAGAGTGTGCCTATGTAGCTGCCACTCAGATCAAAATACACATTCAGCACTCTTTTAGGCTCCTCACAGACCTTCCAGTCAGCCTGTCTGCCCCCAGAGAATATTTACCTTAGACACCTGCATTTGAAACACTTCAAGTAGAGCCATGTAGTCTCTATTCTTGTATCTGGTTTCTTTGGCTTGAGGTTTTCTCTGTAACCTCCATTGAATGTGTGGTTTGAAATTCCATCCTCAAGAGAGGCAAACCCTTACCTGTGTACAACCCATTTCCTTTCTTCATGTCCTGGTTACTGTGCTATTGCTGTGAAAAAACACCATTAAAAGACATGATAAACCTTCCTTCAGAGTTCTTTGTTACACCCACAACCTAAACTCATATTACTAAAAAAGTGATGGACCCAGGGTTTAGTGAAGACACAAGGCATCTCCTATAAAAGAAAGCATTTAACTGGGGGTTTGTTTACAGTTGTAGATGGGTAGTCCATGATCATTATAGAGAGAAGTAGAAAGGCATGGTACTGGGACAGCAACTAAGAACTTTACATCCTGATCCACAGGCAGCAGGGTGAGACAGAAAGGGTTGGAGGGAGAGAGACTGGGCCTCAAATAGGCTTTTGAAACCTCAAAGCCCACTCCCAGTGACATACCTCTCCAGTAAAGCCACACATTCTAATCCTTCTCAAACAGTTCTACTCCCTGGTGACTAAGCATTCAAATTTATGAGCCTATGGGGGCCATTCTTCTTCAGACCACCACACCATTAGTAATTAAGGCTATTTATGTGTCATAGAGTACATTATATTTTCGGATATTGTCAAAATCTAATGTTATTCATCAGTAAGTCTGTTCCTCGGTTGGTGGTGCAGGTCAGTGGTAGACTATGCTTTGTCCTGAAGCCCCGGGTCCCTCACTCTTTTTAGTAATATAAGTTTAGGTTATGAGTGTAACAAAGAAACTTTGAAGGAAGATGTAATATGTGGTGGCCACTTTTTAACCTAACGCTAAGTAACTCCTTTACATGTTTTTTATTAGTTTTGCAGAAAGGACTAAAGGACAACTTTGCTGATGTCCAGGTCTCCGTGGTTGACTGCCCAGATTTAAGAAAGGAGCCCTTTAACTTTCCTGTAAAAGGTGCGTTTTTTTGTTTTAAGTTTTTAGTTTTCAGTCATACTGCTTTTTGGAAGCCAGTATTATTTTCCTCTATGAATAAAGGCTGTTATAACAACCTTCAGGCTCAAATTTGCTTAATTTTGGGTCAGATTTCATTGTGTGCCCTTGTGGGGAAAGATTGTATTTCAGGTGTGTTTTTAACGCTCAGTGTTTTGGTTATGTAACATACTCAGTAGGCTATAGTAGTGGGTTTTTGTTGTTGTTGTGGTTTTTTTTTTTATTTTGTTTTGTTTTGGTTTGGTTTTCTGAGATAGGGTTTCTCTGTGTAGTCTTGGCTGTACTATGCTCTCTTTGAGGACCAGGCTGGTCTCAAACTCACAGAGATCCACTTGCCTCTGTGTCCCGAGTGCAAGGATTACAGACGTGCACCACCACACCTGGCAGTAGGCTAAGTTTTAATAGCACAAGAATTTTGTATTTAATTTCCCAAGTGACTTGTAAAAAGCTTTTAAAATTTTTGATTGTATGTGTTTACTCAAAGTCAGAAAATACCTTAAGAGGCCTATATTTGGGGGCTGGAGAGATGGCTCAGCAGTTAAAAGCACTTGTTGCACTTTTAGAGGACTCAAATATGGTTCCTAGTACCCACATCAGGTGGTTCGCAGCTTTCTGTAACCCCAGCTCCAGAGAATCCAAGGCCTCTTCTAGCCTCTAAAGGAACCTGCATTCCTGAGCACATATCCCCACACATATATACATCATATACATAACTTAAATAAGCCTCTTTTTAGGGCTTATATTTGATTCATCTATTAAATACTTGGGCCCCTTCAAGAAATTTGCCAAGTTTGAAGTAGTAAGAACAGAAAGAAATGAATATTGGTTGAGTACAACAGTCTCAGTGTGACAGACCTCTGGACTGGACATACTGTAGCAGCTATACTCCAAGGTAAGGGCTAGCTCCAGCTTATTGATGAGAAAACAGCTTGAGAGAGCTGAGCCAAACTGTCAGTCGTAAGGCCAAATGCAGGTGTGTTTCAGAAGTCCAACCTCCCTCAATTATGCCCTGTGGTGATAAGGAATTAGAGGTTCGTGCATTTTTCTGTTTCTCTTATGTTAATTGACATAGTTGGTTGAAAAGTAATCTGCTTGGAATTCTTAGACACTAGTCTTGCCCCTTGTGTCTGTGATTCCCATTACCTGTAAGCCCCATAATGTCCCAGAGCCTTGAATACATTAAATAGGAAAGGTCAGTTGTTATTGTAGGGAGTCTTCCAGGTTAAACAGTCTTTGACTGTAGTCTCTGTCAACATGTGAAACTTTTAGAAACCATTCTAAAAACATGTTATATGTAGTGGGTGATTTGTCTGCATGTATAACTCTGTACCTTGTGTACGACCGGTGCCAATGGAGGCCAGAAGAGCATGTCAGATCATCTGAGACTGAAGTTACAGATGTTGAGGGTGCTGGGAACTGTCTTCTGAAAGAGGAAGCCTGTCCTCTTCTTGTAAATGAACAAAAACTAAGATCACCTCTTCCCCCCCCCTCTTGTAATTATCTGTGATTTCTGATTTTCATTTTGAGGAGAGTAAATTGCTCTTTCTTCCTTGTCTCTCTTGAGGACCAGGCTGGTCTCAAACTCACAGAGATCCACTTGCCTCTGTAGCTTGTCTCTCCAGCTTCTTTTCTCTCTGTAGCTGACTCTTTGGAATATTTTCCAGGATCTTTTCCCCCTGCCTCCACCTATTTTGTAGAATCTGAGCTTTGTCATCTAATCTTGTAGATTTAACCAATAAATCTATTGGAAATCTTTGTCTCACCTAGATCTCTAAGAACTTCCAGCTGTGTGTAGCACTCTCCACCTCTGGCTTCCCTCTTACCTGTTCCTTGGACAGCTATGAGTCCTGTAGTAGTTCCTCTAGCCATCAATGTCTCAGTGAAATCTGTGGCTATTTTTTGCTCTTCCCCAAACACAGAAGGCACCTGTTAAGATTTTTTTGCATCTCTCCTCTATGTAATAGTAGTGTGATAAATATGCTTCACTTAATAATATCCTTGCAAAACTTCTCAAGTAAAACATCATTTCTACTCTGCTTTAAACATTGCCTTCTCCCAAGTTGTGTCTCACTGTGTTGTTAAAATTGCCTAAAAATGTAAGTAGAGGGGCTGGCAAGATGGTTCAACAGGTAAAGGCCCTTGCTGTCACACCTGATGAATTAAGTTCAATCCCCAGAATCCGTAGGCAGAAGGAGAAGATTCCCACAGGTTGTTTTCTGACCTCCACACATGTACTCCCACCACCACACACATATAAAATAAATAAATGTAGTAAAGAAAAAAAATTTAAGTCTCTAGAGGGGCTGGAGAGATGGCTCAGTAACAGCTCTTCCTGCTCAAGCATGAGGAGTGGCATTCAGATCCCATCACCCACATAAAGACCTGCAAGTGCTAATGTGTGCCTATCACCCCAGCACTCTGGGGCAGACACAAAGGATTGCTGGGGCTCACTTCAAGTTCAGTGAAAGACCGTCAAGGAATAAGGTAGAGTGATGGGGCAGGTCACCAGCATCTTTCCCTGGCTTCTCCTTGTGGTAGATATGTGCAGTATACACACATAAGTATATTTGCATATACCATATACATATACCACACTCAGATATATACACATGCATATAAAATCAATCAAGCAGTAAATAGAATATATTTTAAAATGAAAGTAGATAATGGGGGTTGTAGGGATGCCAGCTTAGTTACCCATTATTGTTATTTGTATAACCTTATAAAAAGATTTCTGGAGAGATGGCTCAGAGGTTAAGAGCACTGGCTGTTCCAAAGGTCCTGAGTTCAATTCCCAGCAACCACATGGTTGTCTCACAACCATCTATCATCAGCTGTGGTACCCTCTTCTGGCATGCTGGCACACATGAATACTATATAAAAAAAATAAATAAATCTTTAAAAAAAAATGTGAGAATGGATCTAAAGAACAACATTCTACCAAAACAAAATGTTTTAGAAATTTAAAAATAGAGCTGGAAGCAATAGCATGCCAGTAATCTCAGCGCTTGGGAAAGCAGAGGCAGGGAGATCTCTGTGAGTTTGAGGTCAGCCTGGTCTACAAAGTGAGTAGGACAGCCAAGGCTACACAGAGAAACCCTGTCTTGAAACACACAAACAAATGCAAACAAAAAAAATTTAAAATACAATTTATGCAAAAAAAAAAAATGAATTGTTTGAATGAAAATGACACCCTCCCCTCAGGAGGATAGATTCTTATAGAATTAGGCAAATGAATTCTAGAAACTTTACCCAAAAGTTGGTCCATCCCCTCTCAGAATCAGTTGTTGGTATGCCCCTGGCTACCAGGCCATGCTTAGTAATGACAGCATAGGTGGCAGTTAAGAGCCCAGCAGGGATCGCTTGCTTATTTCACCTCTGTTAGTGCAACACTGAGATTCGCTTACATTTATTCCTAGTAAATTAGCATCTTCTGGAATGATACTTGAACGATACATTTGCCTGCTTTTAAGATGGCTTGTGTTTTTTAGGCATCTGTGGGCAAACTAGAATTGCAGAAGTAGGAGGTGTGCCTTACTTATTGCCTCTTGTAAACAAAAAAAAAGTAAGTATGCTTTTATTCTTTGTGTCACAGACTATAGAAACTGGCTTGAGTCCTGTTTCTCAGGAAGGCCACCAGTGAGTGTGGCAGGCAAGGAAGCCAGTGGTTGTAAAAAATAAATCAGGGAGTTGATATGTTACATCTTCAAAATTTTTTTCTTTTTATAGGTTTATGACCTAAATGAAATTGCAAAAGAAATACAGCTGCCCGGAGCTTTTATCCTTGGAGCAGGAGCAGGTCCATTTCAGACCCTTGGGTTCAATTCTGAGGTCAGTATGTGTATAGTATTATTTTATTTTGTTCATTTGATGTTTGAGTTATTCATGACCTTTTTACTGGCCTGTCAAAATCTACTTTTAGCTGGTAGTGGTAGCTCCTATATGTAGTTCTGGCACTTACCAGGCTGAGGCTTGAGGTTCAAGGTCATCATAAGTTACATAGTGAGTTCCAAGTCAGTCTGGGTTTTAGTGGGAAAACCTGTCTCAAGGGAAAACAAAACAACAACAACAACAACAACAAAAAAAAAACCTTCTTTTTTAGTGAATTATTAATAGTTGAATCTCTGCACATTTGGGCCAAGTGCACACTCCAAATGGTCGAATGCTCATAAAATACCTATTTTATTTTCATAGTTTTTAGAGAACATGTTAAGGCCAAAAGACTTGTGTATGTGTTATGTGTGTGCATTATGTGTGTCCTTGTTTTTTTGAGGCAGAATCTGGCTATGTAATCCAGGCTGGACTTTAATTCACAGTCCTCCTCTACCTGTTCAGTTCTGGATTGCCATGTCCACTGTACACCTGATGATCTTTTTTAAGGTTTATTTTTTTTTTAATTTTATGTATCTGAGTGCTTTATCTGCATGTACACCTTGCATGCCAGAAGAGGGTACCAGATCATATTATAGATGGTTGGAAGCTGCCATGTGGGTGCTGGGAATTGAACTCAGGACCTCTGGAAGAGCAGCCAGTACTCTTAGACTCTGAGCCATCTCTCCAGCCTACATTTGTTTGGGTTCATGGTTTCAGAAGTTTCTGTCCATGTCCCAGTTGCTTTGGACCTTTGGGGAGAGAGAACAGTGAGGAAGACATGGTGGAACAAAGCTGCTTCCCTAAACCATTAAATCCTACAGATGCATTAATCTGTTCTTGAAGTGACATTAGGGAATGATAATGTTGTTTGATTGTAATCTGAATTTGGCAGGGAATGAAGGCAGTGGTAGAGCCCTGTCTTAGCATGAACAAAGGCTTGGTGCACTCTCCAACAGTGCAACAATATGTGAATATATTGGAAAAGACCCAAGATAAAATCTTAGATCTAGGAGAAAAATTATTAATAACTAAAATTGACTTTCTTTCCAGTTCATTCCAGTTGTTCAGACAGCAAGTGAACACAACCAACCTGTGAACAGAAGTTACTTTGCCCATATAAATCCTGCAGATGGAACGTTCCTGCTGGAGAAGTACAGCCAAAAATATCAGGATTTTGGATGTGCATTACTGGCTAATCTTTTTGCCAGTGAGGGCCAACCTGGCAAGGTGATTATGCCTGTAAGAACATAGCATTCAGCTGGGCATCAGGACAGCCAGGGCTACACAGAGAAACCATGTCTAGAAAATAATGAATGAATGAATGAGTGAATGAATAAAATTACCTAGTAAACAGAGCATCCCTTTGCTCTACCTTTCTGAGTAGAAGGTAACAAAACACAAACTTTGGGCATTCATTATTTGCATAAAGCAATAAGATTACGCTTACTTATGGGTGGTAACCAGGCATAATAACATGCATTGTGCTAGAAGCTGTGGTAACAAAAACAAGAAAACAATAAGGAGAATGCATGCCTGCTTGATCTAGGTACAGCCTCTGTGAAGACTTAGATCTGGAAGGGAGAAAGCCGCTTCAGCTATTTAAGAAATGAGACAGAGATGTAAAAGTACACAAGAACACAGGGAAACCTCTGTCAAGAATTTTACAGGAAGTGAGATCTTGCAAACCTGTCTTCAGTCCCCATTACCAGAGGTGAATCCCTTCAAGCCTAGTAATCCTCAAACTTTCCAAACCATCTTGGTCTCCAGAATTCAGGACTCAGTTCAAGGACTCATGAACAAAATTGTTGGAGTTACATATAACTGGTGTGTGTGTGTGTGTGTGTGTGTGTGTGATTTAAAACAAGGAATGAGACATCTCAACTCTGATCTTTGTGTGCTGAGCAGATAATATTTACCTGGTGGCAGTAAGTTTTATAATGGTACAGTTAGGTAGTTATTAGAATTGTACAGCTTATGCAGTACCATTTCACCCTCTGCAGGTCATTGAAGTACAAGCCAAGAGAAGAACAGGACAGCTTAACTTTGTGACTTGCATGAGGCAGACTCTGGAGAAGCATTATGGAAACAAGCCTGTGGGGATGGGAGGCACCTTCATTGTGCAGAAGGGGAAAGTCAAGGCCCACATCATGGTAAGGGTTCTGTGTCTGCCTGCCTGCATAGGCACGCCAGCTAACTTTCACATTTTGGGGTTGGGAGCCAGGGTGTTTGCTATAACTCAGGTTAGCCTCAAAGTTACTGTATAGAGCATATTTCACCTTCTTATTTAAGTTTATTATGAAGTATTTTATTTTCTTTGATGCCTATACCCACTTCTAGAGCCTTTTGCCTCAGCCTCCTAAGTGCTGGGATTACAGATATGTACCACCATTCATGGTAGAAGTTTTTTTCACATGGCCCAATAAACCACAGCCAACTCCAATGTCAGAAGAATTCCCATGTTTTTGTACATTCTCTGTAAATCTTAGCTGGCATGTTATCTTGGCTTCATTTGAAGGTAACTTTCATACATCGTGCAAAGAGTCTACCTCCATCCCTTTGCACGAGTGTGTCAGTTCTTCCTACTTCTGTTGAAAATCACTCATCCAGGCAGGGGAAAAGATTCAGTGATTAAGAGCACTTGCTCTTGCAGAGGACCTGGGTTCAATTCCCCCCATAGTGGCCCACAACCTTCATTAATTCCAGTTCCACAGGCACGAGGTATGCATCTAGTGTACACACATATATGCAGGTAAAACATAAAAACATAAAAATAAAAAACCTTTTTTAAAAAAGAAAAGGGGATGTGGGCTGGAGAGTTGGCTCAGTAGTTAAGAGCACTGGCTGAGTTTCCAAAGGACCCAGGTTCAATTCCTAGCACCCACATGGCAGCTCATAGCTGTCTGAGACTCCAGTTCCAGGAGATCTGACAGTTATCACACACACATACAAGCAGACAGAAGACATGTGCATACAATAAAAATAAATAAATCATTTTTAAAATTTATTTCATTTTATTTTATGTTCATTAGTGTGAAAGTGTCAGATCCCTTGGAATTGGGGTTACAGACAATTGTGAGCTCCCACATGGGTGCTAGGAATTGAACCTGTGTCCTTTGGAAGAGCAGACAGTGCTCTTAACCACTGAGCCATCTCTCCAGCCCCCAATAAATCATTTTTAAAAAGAGAAAAAACACTCCCCCACACACATACACATACACAAGGCTTCATTTCTGGCCTCTCTCTTCTGTACATTTGGCCTACATGTACTTTGGTTAGTTTTTTATAAATTTGACATAGATTAGTTGCCTGGGAAGAGAGAATCTTGAGGAATGCCCCCATTAGATTGGCCTATGGGGAAGTGTGTGGGTATTTTCTAAATTAAGGATTGATGTGGGAGGGCCCAGCCCACTATGGGCAGTGTGGAATAAGAAAGCAGGCCTAGCAGGCCTAGCACGCCATGGAGAGCAGTAAACAGCACCCCTCCATGGTCCCTGCTTCAGGTTTCTGCCTTAACATCCCTTTATGATGGACTATAAGCTGTAAGATAAAGTAACCCCTTTTCTACCAAGTTGCCTTTGGTCTTGGTTTTATCACAGCAATGGAAAGTAGCAGGTAGAGCATGCCTGTCTGTGCAGCTGGCACCCTCTCATTGTGGTAGACATGTACATTTAGAAGCTAAGAAGTAAGAACTTCTAACTTCTTTTACAGAACTATTTTTAAATTTTCATACAAATTTTAGGTGCATTTTTCTTTTTGTTTGTTTGCTTTTCGAGACAGGGTTTCCCTGTGTAGCCTTGGCTGTCCTGAATTTGCTTGGTGTAGACCAGGCTAGCCTCAAACTCATAGAGATCCACCTGCCTCTGCCTCTGAGTGCACCACCATGTCTGATTTTTTTCTACTTTAAAAAAAAAATTGTGCCAGCCGTGATGGCCTGTAATCCCAGCACTCTGGGAGGCAGCAGCCGGCCTGGTCTACAAAGCAAACCCAGGACAGCCAAGCCAAGACAGAGAAACTCTTTCTTGAAAACGAAACAAACAAAATAATAATAATAATCATTATCATCATCATCCAAGGACATGGGAGGCAGAGGCAAACAGATCTTTATGAGTTCCAGACCAAGAAGAGATACATAGTGAGACCAACATTTAAAAAGCAATTATACTGATTTTCTCTGTTTTGCCCTTTGCCATGTTGGTAAACAAATCCAGGGCCTTACAGTCACTTTAACCACCGAGCCCTATTCCTGGCAATGATGAGTGTTGTTATTGGTGTTTGCTGTTCAGTGGTTCTAGAATAGGATAGAAGCCAAGGTCTTACACCCAGGAAACCAGGGCTGTAGTACTAAGACATCGACAGAACAGGGCCAAGTCCTTAGATAGCCTTCAGTAACACTGACATCTTCAGTCATGTCTATTTTCCCTAAATGCGGTGTATTTTTCCATTGAACTTCTGTGTTTTTATTATTGTATATGATGTATGTGTGAACACAGGGACACACATGTGGAGTTAAGGGGACAACTTTCAAAAGTCTGTCCTCAGGCTGAGAGTTGCCTTCTCAGAAGGCCTGGAGATAAGAGTTTAATGCCCAGATCCCACTTAAAGATAGGAGAAAACAGACTCCACAGAGTTGTCCTCTGACCTTCTTAACTGGCACTGTGGCACACACCCACCCATTGTGCACACATATATTAATAATTTTTATCATGAGTTTTTGTTTTTTATTTTGCATATGAGCGTTCTGTCTGCATATACATCTGCATGCCAGAAGAGGGCATCAGATCTCAGTATAGATGATCATGAGCCACCATGTGGCTGCTGGGAATTGAACCCAGGTCCTCTGGAAGAGCAGGCAGTGCTTTTAACCTCTGAGCCATCTCTCCAGCCCTAAGTTGGTTCTCCTGTTGTAAGTTTTGGGGATTGAATTCAGATCACCATATTTACATGGTAAACCAAATTGCTGCCTCTACTCTGATTTCTATGTGTTTCCTATATATGTGTTTTCACTTTATTATTTAAGTTTATTACAAAGTAGTTTATTCTCTTTGATACCTCTACCTACTTCTAGAGCCTTGTTTCTATGTCCCATCCACTTTGTTATGAGGTACAAACTCAGAAGAACTGGGGCTGGAGCTCAGAGGAGAGCCTTAATTGGCATGTACAAAACTCTGGATTTGATCCCTAGCACTGAGAAAAGTCAAAAGATTAGGTTGTAAGGAATGGAAATGGAAAGCCAAGTAGCTCAGTGGTGAGAGTGCATGCCTAGAAGGCAGGAGGTCCTGTTTTCAATCCCAGAACTGTATAAAAATAATATTTTAGAATGCCGAAGAGCTGGGGCTATGGCTAAGTGGTACAGTACTTGCCTAGAGTGTACAAGTCCCCAGGTTCAATTCCCAATATCACACAAAACAATTAAAATCACACATAAAATGGAGAACATATACAGCAGAAAGACTGTAGATGTGTGAAAAAAAATTAATTGCCTCACTTCTTCAGTAACTTAGGAATAAGTTTCAGTTTGTACAAATTGGATGGCTAACCTTTTAGAAACTGGGAAAAGTGATGCCAAAACCCAGTCAGTAAGATGTATTAAAGAGAACCATGAGGTCGTACTTATCACACTTAATTCCCATTCACATTCAGTGTGTTTTCCTGCTTACGTGTTGTTGCAGCCAAAAGAGTTTTCTTCCTGCCCCCTGAGCTCAGATGAAGCTGTCAATGAATGGCTGCACTTCTATGAAATGAAGGCTCCTTTGGTTTGTCTACCAGTTTTTGTTTCCAAAGACCCGGTGAGTCTTCATCTGCCTTTTATATACAGTGAAAATTCTTGGTAGCATACTTGTTTTTTAAAGTATTTACTTACTTTTATTTGTGTTTGTGTATCTGTGTGCATGTGCATATTCACATCCATGTGTCTATGTGTATAGCAAATGCTACAGCATATGGGTAGAGGTCAGAGAACACCTTGTGAGAATCCGTTCTCTCCTACCGTGTGAGTACAACAGATCAAACTCAGGTTGTCTGGCTTGGCAGCAAACACTTGCCAGCAGAACTGTCTTGCCAGCAGAACTGTCTTGTTTTAGAATAGATAATTTGGGTTTTTGTTATTGATGTGTGAGGATAGCCTTGGGGTCATCTTTTTGTTTTGTTTTGTTTTCTGAGACATGGTCTTTCTACATAGCCGTGGCTGTTAGGTCTCAAACCCTGGACAAATAGCTAAGGGCACCCTAAAGGGAGTAGCAGGCTCCAGGATCCAGGGAGACACTTGCTGAGTAGGTGAGGAAAGATGGATGGTTAGATTAGGTAGAGGGAAGGTGCACCAGAAGAGGCAACTGTAGGATCAAATTTGGTGAGTGGCAAAAGCCAGCAGAAACAAATGATCCATACATACTGTAGGAGAGTCGTGTGATAATAAGACCACAACCACAGTTTTTGAACTAAATTTTTAAGCAGGCTTAATTAAAAACTGGCCAGGATGATGGATTGTGGCCAGGTCCATTCCAGGGTTCCCAGACAATGGTGGCACGCCACATTTTGCAGAGGCTTATAAAGGCAAACATATAAGACTACATATTTCCCACGAGGTCTAATAGGCGCAAGAACATAGCCTGATGTATTTCCTGGCTTCGTATCTCCCACCTGCATCTAAACAAGCACATCCAGTGCAGCTCTGTCAAAGACACTCATTTAGGGCAGTGGTGAACATGTGGCTTGTTAGTTTACATAACAGCAGGCCTCAATATCTCAGAAATTATCTGTCCTTGGGCAAGGGGCTTACAGGTTAGAGGCATTTTCATTTCATGGATCTCTTAGACATCTGGGAGAGTCCAGAGTGGATATGACCCTGAGGAAAGTAGAAAGTGGATGGGGAAGCACAGAGTGGGACAAGACCAGGTGCAGCAATCAAGAGGTTTAAAAAAAAAAAAGGAGGCGGTAAGTGGGTGGATAGCCAAAACAGCTGAATTATATAGGACAGGGGGAGGGTAGCCCAGCCTCTGGGCTGTAGAGTTTGGGGTAGGGGTCAGGGCATGGCAACCATACCCTGTAATAAATAGGTAGGGACTGAGGGATATTGGGAGAACCTGGCAGCCAGGTCTGCTGTGATGTGTTAAATAGGCACCTCTGCTGTTTGTCCCAGGGTTTGAGACCTAATATTGCCTATCCTAGAACTCACTATGTAGACCAGGCCATCTGCCTCTGCGTCTCAAGTGCTTGGAATAAAGGCTGTGTCATCACGACTGGCTTTATTTATTTATTTTTAATTTCTTAACCTTATACATCAGTCCAGGCCACCTGTTTACAATAAACAAAGTTCTTGGATTAAAGATGTGTGCTATGGCTCAACCACAGCAAACAAGAAACAGGGTTTTACAGTTCACAGTTTTGGGGTTCACAATGGGATCAAATATCCTGCAACAGATCTGTCACTCAGAAGATACAGTTAGGAAAATTGGGAGTTCAAAGCTAGTTGCAACCACACAGTAAGTTCCTGTCTCAAACAAATAATAATAATATTTTTTAAAGTTTTTTTTAAAAAGTAATAAAAGGCTTCTCTCCTTCCCCTGAAATGCACTGTAATCAAAATGATTTTAGTCCATGCTAACAGACTGTCTGCTGTCTTAGGGACTTGATTTGCGACTGGAGCACACCCATTTCTTCAGTCATCATGGCGAAGGCGGACATTACCACTGTGATACCACCCCAGACACAGTGGAGTATCTTGGCTACTTCTTACCTGCACAGCTCCTCTACCGCATTGATCGGCCCAAAGAGACCCATGCATTTGGGAGAGATTAAAGCAGCTGATGCTTGCTTAGAAAATGGTTAGCTAAGGTTAAATCCCTAACTCAGCAACTGATACTAATTAAAAAATCCAGTAGGGAGCCAGAGAGTGCTTCCCAGCAAGCCAAGGCCCTGGCTTAATCCTCAGCATGGAAGAAAAACACACAATAAGAGTAATTTCACTACATAAACACTAGTTTTATACTATTTCAAATGCAAGGATACTTGATACTCCTATTATTTAGCATCTTCATGTGAAGAAGATTATTAGTAACAAAGATATCTAATTGAGATGCTCACTTTAGTAAACCAATTTCATATCTTTATAGCCCGGCAAAGTCTTCTCTTCATACCTCAGATATAAGCAGAACAGGGACCTTCCATTATTCCTGCTATCTAGGAATAACTTACATTTGTGTGACATTAAATCTTGCAAGTTCATCTCACAAGTGCTAAGGGATTATTACTGAGTATTAGACACAAAAGTGTGGAATCTTTGCACTGAGTTTTTAAAGCCCACAAAGAAAACCAGTGTACTCTGTTCTCAGCACTCGGGGGACAAGGTGGCTCTTTACTCTGGTGACAATCTACACTCAGAAGTCTGCAGCCTGCCTTCCACAAATGTTAGTAACATTGATTAGCCAGGCTCTTCTTGAATTAGATCTCCATCCAACGGTTTGTACTTCAGTAACTGCAAGATAAGAAGGGAAAGAGTAACAAAGCACAACACTAACATGAGTATACTTTAGTAAGGCTGCTGTTGAACACAGCCGTTCTCCATCACGAGATAAAACTACACTCTTAATGTGTGGTGTCTTGAAGACACACGTCTGTGCCCTTTTGTTGGCTATTAGAATAGTGAGACAATGGGCCCCAGGAAATTGGAATTCCCTCAGTATTCTCATGCCAGGAGAACCCTGGTGCCAGCCAGAGGAAGGACTTGTCTCCTGGAAAGAGTTGTCACATAGTTCTGCAGGACCAACAGGAGACTAGTCAGTCAGTGGGGGTGGGCAGGACCACAGCTTGACCTGGTGAGTTGGGCATACATCTTGCCCTCTATTTAAACCTGAACCTCATGCCAGGATCCCAACATAGATTTTGCAGAATAGTGGGGAATCAGAGACTTGTTTGTTCCTCTTCTCAATGTGACTACATTCAAGAAATCTTTTTATGCTTTTCAAAAAATTACATTATTACTGTGTACTGATGATTACAAAACTCCTTGCTGTTCTGTAATATAGAACCTGTGATGATCATTAACCAGAAATCAACCTTGCTAATGGCAGTAAGGTGTGGGTCTAGGAAATCTTTAGAACTAAGCCCTAAATGTTTTCTGATTCCTTACTTTGTAATGAACATGTCTGTGAGTATAAACATGATTTTTGAAACAAAACTGAATAAAGTAATATTTAGTCTATTGTTTCTTTTTCCTCTCCTTCCCCCCCAACCCCGACTACTGAGATAAGAGTCCAGACTGGCCTTGAACTCTGAGATCCCCTTGCTTCTGCCTCTCGGGTGCTAGAACTAAAAGTGTGTGCCACCACTGCCTAGCTGATTAGCTGATATTGTTGTTTTTGAGTCTCTTACCTCAACAAAAACAGTATTGCTATTATTTTAGTGTGCTTGTGTATGCTCTGTGCATGTCCTCGTGTGTGGACGCACGAGTGCATATGCATGTGGAGAGCAGTTATGCCCAGTAGCTTTGATTTCTCTCTCCCTTAAATACTGAGGCTTGCTGATTCAGCTAGGCTAGTCAGTCAGAATGATCCTGTCTTTACCTCCTTGACCAGTGGGATTACATATGAGCTGCCACACCCAGCTGGCTTTTTATGTGGGTACTGGGGATCCAATCTTCACACTTGTGCAGCAAGGACTTGATGCATACTATCCCCCCAGCCTAGTGTGTTAGTATTCTTTTTATTTTTGTTTTTGAGACAAGGATTCTCTGTGTAGCCTTGGCTGTCCTGGACTCGCTTTGTAGACCAGGCTGGCCTCAAACTCCAAGAGATCCACCTGCCTCTGCCTCCCTGAGTGCATGTGCCACGTGCCCGGCTGTGTTAGTATTATTTTATTTCACTTACCCTGTACTCTGGAGGTGAGTGAGGTGTTAATTCAACACTATAGCACAGTTTCAAAGTAAGCATACAGGAAAAATTTGTTGGGTGGGTGGATGATTATGCCAGATATGTTACTAGATTCTGGGATATATTTAGTTGGAGAGAGCAAACAAATATGTGATTAATAGATATTACTGTGTGAAGAAAAATACAGCAGAGGTAGAAAGAAGGTAAATTCTATTTCCTTGTGGGGTCCCAGCTGAGAGGATGGATTCACTTGCTTAATTTGATTCAAATATCAAGACTAATGAAATCACCCACCAGCAAGGCATTAATCCTAATGGAAAGGTTTCTAGAGAGATCAGGACAGCTACAAGGCCTGTATGGAAAAGAATGGCCTGACAGAATAGGGGAAGTCTGGCTTTAATGGTTCCTCCGTGAGCTTTGAATTTCTCACAGATATCATGGGAGTATGTGGGTGTTCTTGACTTGTCAAAATGTAGGTTTGAAGGCTGCCAGCAGTCATGCATCAGGAGCAGGATGATGGAAAGATGGCTCAGCAGTGCTTGTGCTTGCAGTTCTTGCAGAGGACCCGAGTTCATTCCCTACCATCCACATCAGATAGCTCACACCTGGCTGGCTCTAACTCCAGCTCCAGGGATTCCAGTGCCCTCTTCTGACCTCCATGGCACCTAAACACATGTATATGGACATTGGGACACATATATACCCCTACCTTCTGAGACTGAACTGCCACAACATTCAAGGATTGATACTTGGCTGGAGAGATGGCTCAGTGGTTAAGGGCACTGTCTGCTCTTCCAAAGGACCCAGGATTCAATTCCCAGCACCTACATGGCAGCTCGCAGCTGTCTGTAATGCCAATTCCAAGGAATTTGATACCTTCACACCAATGCACATAAAAGAATTGACACTTCATCATCATTCAGCTGGCTAAGTGCTCTCTGCTCTACCTGGATAGGAATCCTGGGTAGGCAAGCTTGTTAAATGTTGGTCTCCAGCAGCTTTTGTTTCCCTGTGACTGACAGCAGTGAGTGGTGGCAGGGGCGGGGCCTTGTAAATGGAACTCTCTAATGCTTCCACTTTATTTTTTCTTTGTGCCTTAATCACTCCAGGGACTTTTCAGCATCTCTTTCAGCTGTCAGTGCCATGGTCACAACTACTTGGGGTACTGACTCTGCTAGGACAGTGTTTGAGAGCCAGGGCAGCTGGAGGGTTGTTCAGTCTCAGGGCACTAGGCCCAACTAGGATTACTCAGGAAGCATCTACTCCAACAGATGGAATCTCCAAGGCTTTAGTGGCTGCACCAGCACCACCAGAGGGATTCAGGCCCGTGGACACTGTCAACAGTAAGTCGGGGGCTTCTGAAGACTACAGCTTCTTCAGCTCAGACAGCTTGCTGAGGCCTCCATCTACACTTTGTCTTGGGAAGCAAGGACCCAAGGACCCAACAAATAATTATTAGACAAGACAAGGTTGTTCAGGATACCAAGATTAGACTCAATGTGGTATCAAAAGCCAACCTAGTCTACAGAGCGAGTTTCAGGACAGCCATGACTACACACAGAAACTCTGTCGCACACACACACACACACAAAGCAACCAACCAATAAACAACAAAAACATTGGGCAGAGAAGAAGTAGAGGGTTTAGCACCTGTCAAGCTGTGGGCTGCAGTTGCCAACCTGCTAATGTTCCTTGTTTTTTCTGGTGTAGCCTGCATACTGACAGTGACTAGGAAAAGGCTACTCAATAAAAGGTATCGTTGGATCTGAGGTCCTAACACCATGTAAAGCAGTACAGGAGAGTGCCTCTTGGCTGAGTACCTGAGGAATAGCCTCCTTATACAGTCCAAGAAGGGCCATTTGGGCCAATCGTAGCCATCTATTTGGTTAATGACAGGTGCCTTTTGTCTGTGTGTGTACATATCTGTGAGTGTATGCCCCATGTGAGGACATCCGCAGACCTGGACCGACAGCACAGCCCTCCATTTAGTCATTAAGTCACCAGTCACGGTGGTCCCTCCTTTAGGGCAAGTGCACCCTCTCCGGCCAAGGTGAAAAAGATTAATCCAGGCTTGTGACTGGACGAATCCCTGGCCAGAGGTGTTCCTACTGGGTCTGGACGATAAGATGCAATGTTTTGTGTAGGCATAGCTAAGCGTCCTTGGAGTATTTAAGGCAGCTGGTGCAGTCTGAAGGTTAGTAACACTAGCTGTTTGACTCAGTCCTTTTGGTGAAGGCAGCTCCATCAACGAGCGAAACGCCAACAATTGCTAATTAGAGTTAAATCGCCATCTACAGTGTCTTTGTGAGAGCTTAAAGGTAAAGCACTTGTAACGGTACATATATCTTCACCGTTAACTTCACTGAATGTAAAATCACCTAGAGAAAACACCTCTGGGTGTGTCTGTGAGGATGTTCCCAGAGATTATTAACTGGGAAGTGAAAACCTACCCGGATGATGGGTTGATGCATCCCATGGACTGGTGTCCCAGATTGAATTAACGGGGGTGGGGGTGGGGGGGGTAGAGAGAGGTGTCCCAAAAATCAAATAACTAACCAGCTTAACAAGAAAGCTGCATGTCTCAATTACAAATTAGTCAGGTCAACAAGAAATAAACTATCTCAAAAACTAAGCAAAGAAGCAACGAACTAACCAAGAATATTCCAGCTCCAGTCATATCAACATAAGACTAGCACACCCTGCCTTCTCGGCTGCGGCTGAACTTCCGTCAACCGGACGCTCCCGCCTCCCATGTGCAGCGCACCGGAAGTGTCCGGGCGGCTGTACCTCCGCGCCTGCTCATAGTGTTCCATGAGGCGCGACGCGGAGCATTGTGGGGTGGCGGCGGCCCGTCAGCTTCCGGCCGGGCTTCAGCGACTGGCTTTCGGGGAGCTTTGCGTCCAGCCTCCCGCGTCGGTGCTCAGTTCGGCGGTGTCGCCCGCAGGCTACCGCCAGCATGTCGGGCGTACGAGCCGTGCGCATCAGCATCGAGTCGGCCTGCGAGAAGCAGGTGCAGGAGGTGGGCCTGGATGGCACCGAGACGTACCTGCAGCCGTTGTCTATGTCGCAGAACCTGGCGCGCCTGGCGCAGCGCATCGACTTCAGCCAGGGCTCCGGCTCTGAGGAGGAGGAGGCGGCGGGGCCCGACGGCGACGCGCAGGACTGGACGGGCGCCGGAGCCGATCAGGAAGACGAGGAGGGTGAGCCCCGAGGGTTAAAGTGCGTTCTGTGATGAAGACGTGGACGGCTTTGGGCCGGTCATTTTGCTTCTCTGTGCCTGTGGGTGTAAAGAGATGAGTTGACTGCAGTGGGAAAGCCGAGCTAGTCGAGACTCAGGTGGCGTACAGCCTGTCAGGTCAGGAGAAGTAGTCGGCTTTTTTGTTGTTGTTTGTTTGTTTGTTTGTTTGTTTTATTAGAACAGCTGAAAGCTTTTAGGGGCATTTTAGGTGTAACGGGTGATTTTTAATGATGACTGCGGAAACTTTGAGGTAAATGAATTACAAGTAAACTAAACTGAAAGACAGGAATTTGGAGAAGTAATCAGACTGGATTTTGGATTCTTCTTATTATCAAAGAATTTTTTGAAACCACAGTTCTTAATTTAGTGATGTCACAGAGAATGTGTAAGTGTGGAGTGTGGTAACACAGTTTATATTCCCAGCACTCACCAGGCAGAAGAAGTCAGATTTCTAAATGGTCACAACAGCCTGAGCTAATAGGGAAACGCTGTCTCAATAAAGAAATTAAAATTTTAAATTAAATTAAAATTTAAACTTGGCAGAAAATTAAAACATTGTTATTTTCCTATGTTTGGATGGCAGATCAGTTTTGAGTGCTCAATTTGAAGTGTGTATTTCATTTGATCCGCTGAATTCCCTACCTAAGGAAAGAACTATATAGCACAATTATGTATGAAGTTACAATACTGATATCATTGGGGACATTTGAACTGTCTGTTAAGTAGGAGTGCTTACATGACATGCCTCCAGGTTTCCAAATATCCTAAGGTGTGTAAAGCAATGCTTGTATGAGATGTCTCTAGGACATAGCAAATGAAGGAAAGGGCAAATAACAGTATGTGTTAAATTAGCAGGAAAATCTCTGAAAGAGTTCACCCAACTGTTAATAGTGGTCATGTCTCAGGAGGGAGGAGAGTCGGGCCTGAGACTGAAGAAAAACTTGGACTTTCACTCCCTGATTCTTATAGCTGGAACTCTGTAGAGTGAGCATGTGTTAAAATTGATTAAAAGGAAGGTATGCTCATGGAGCTAATAGTATGCTGGTGTTGAAGGCTATCTGGGCCTTTGCCTGTTTTGCAGTTTAGAAATTCACT